CTAGGCAACTACACCGGAGGCCGACTGTGGGTAGAGCATCTAGGAACGGAACCGGTCACCAAACCTGTCAACAAGGTGACGCCAGATGGTCAAGAACGAATTGGCCAGTGCTGGAACACCAAGCACCAGATGGTGCACTTCCCACCCAAGGCCTGGCATGGGGCCGAAGTGTGGCAAGGAGAGCGGTTTGTGGTATCGTGTTATGTGAGCAGGGCACACCGGAGCATGAGCGAGCAGAATCGACGTCAGCTTGTTCAGGGAGGGTTCAGGGTGCCACCTAGGATCCCGAGTAGGCCCCAGATCCTGGCCGCCAGTGAACAGCCCCTGAGCAAACAGGAGCGGGAGAGAGTGAAGAAACAACTGTATTTACTGCACGCTGCGACTGGTCATGGTAGCAACCGTAGCTTAATCGAGGCCCTCCGAAGGCGTAAGGTGCACCCCGAGGTTCTCGAATTGGCCCAGAGTTTCCAGTGCCCCGTGTGTCAAGAACGTAGGAAGGTCCAACCACGACACCTTGCCTCCCTGGAACCCCTTCCCCCAAAGTGGCAGTGCATTAGTGCGGACATAGGGCATTTTTACAATTCTGAGCGGAAGGAACATGTCCAGTTTATGATGATCGTGGATGAGGGATCAAGATTTCGAGCTGCTCGAGTGCTCACATCTGGGCTGAAACAACAGCCCTCAGCAGCAGCATGTCTAGAGTACTTACGCGATGGATGGATACCTTACTTTGGAAGTCCACAGACCATACGCCTGGACCCAGCAGGCGCCTTCCGGGGATCCGCACTAGAAGATTTTTGCGATCGCCACCAGGTGTATCTGGATGTGATTCCAGGCGAGGCCCATTGGAAGTTGAGTGCAGTGGAGCAAGCAATTCAGGGTGTTAAGACTTTGATGGGCAAACTGGTGGCAGAAGATCCAGAGCTTGAGACGCGAGAGGCGCTAGCAACGGCAGTTCGAACATTCAACCAACGAGAAATCATTCGAGGGTTTTCCCCAGTACAACACGCTCTGGGCCAGAGCCCCGATGCTTCAGGACGATTAGACTTCTCAGGCAAGGCAGTGCCGCCAGAGCTGTTAATCGAGAACCCCAACGGCGAGTTCAGTCGCAACGTGGAGCGTCAGCGCGTGGCTGAACAAGCCTTAGCAGACTGGCAGGCGCAGCAGCGACTGTCAAGGGCTCAGAGCTCTCGAGGACGCAGGGTGCTGAACTTCACTCCAGGGGAGCTCGTGTTCTTTTGGAGATCACAGGTGAGCGGGCAGTCCCGCAAGCAACCGGGGGACAAGAAGGGACAGTTCCTCGGGCCCGCCAGGATCCTGGCGACAGAGACAAAGCGGAACGAGGACGGCACCTTGCAACCCAGTTCGTCAGTGTGGCTAGTCAGAGGGCGCAGCTTGATTAAGTGTGCGGCAGAACAAATCCGCCGCGCGTCCAGCCGCGAGGAGCTCATTGAGTCGCTGGACCAAGACAATCAAGTGCCCTGGACGTTCACACGAGTCGCTGAGGAGATCGGCGGAAACCGCTATCAAGATGTGACGGAAGCAGTTCCTGAGGAAGAGTGGGTTCGAGCACAGGATGTTGAACAAGTCGAACCCCCAGTGCGACGGAGGCTGGGACACAAGCGGCCCTTGGAGCAGGCCACAAGCCACAGGCCCGTGGCACAGGCTGCGGCAGGATCGCAGCCCTCTTCCTCAGTTCGCGCACGGCCCTATCCTCCCACGAGTTCGGAGAAGGGTCACCAGTGGTGGTCAGAAGTACAGGACGCCATGTGGGGCGATGAGGTGAGCTACTGGTCCGACGAGGCGGCAGCGGTGAGTGTGGAACTGGAACTGCCGACGGGCCCAAAGCAGCTACAACAGGCGTGCCGAGACCTGCCCACTTACTTCGTCGGTTGCATGAAGCGGCGAGCCATAGAAGTCAGCGAGAAGCGGATGTCCGATGAGGAGCGCAAGCTCTTCCGGGAGGCAAAAATGATTGAGGTGAAGAACTTCGTGGCGGCAAAGGCTTTCGAGACACTGCCGGAGGCCCTTAAACCACCCAAGGAGGTTGCAGTGGGAATGAGATGGATCTTGACTTGGAAAGTGAAGGAGGACGGAACCTCCAAGCCGAAGGCCAGGGCGGTCCTGCTTGGGTATCAAGACCCGTCGTATGAACACCGTGCCACAACGGCACCGGTCATGACGCGGCAGACGCGTCAACTGGTGTTACAGGTCGCAGCCAACAAAGGCTGGTCCGTCGCCAAGGGCGACGTCTCTGGAGCATTCTTACAAGGCCGGGAGTATCCAGACAAGCTTTACTGCATACCTTGCCCTGAGATTTGTGAAGCACTTCAGATCCCAGCAGACTCGGTCACACGCTTGCGTCGCGCATGCTACGGCTTGGTGGACGCGCCACTGGAGTGGTATAAAACAGTAGATGAGTTTTTGACCGAGCAAGGCTTGGAACGATTGTGGTCAGATGCTTGTTGTTGGGTCTTGCGAGACAATGGCCAGGTGGTAGGCCTGATATCAGGCCATGTAGATGATTTTCTGTTTACTGGTTGCGAGAGGAATGAAAAGTGGAAGCGAGTCATTGAGGCCATTCAGAAGCGCTTTAAATGGGGAGACTGGGACCGGGACGAGTTCGTCCAATGTGGGGTGCAAATCAAACGAGTGAGCGATGGCTTTGAATTGACCCAGGTCCGCTACATTGAAACATTGAAGGAGATCCCCATTTGTGCTAGTCGTAAGAAACAGGACAGTGAAGCAACCACGGAAAGGGAGAAGAGCCAACTTCGGGCTCTCCTCGGAGGGCTATCCTGGCATGCGCAGCAAATTGGGCCACACCTGAGTGCTGAGGTCAGCTTACTCTTGTCTGAGGTGTCTCAGAGTCAGGTCTCCACGATCGGCAAGGCCAATGCGTGTCTCAGACGAGCGCGGGCCCACAAGGCACATGCAATGAAGATTCACGCCTTCACACAAGGCGAAGAGCTTGGCATGTTTGGATGGGTTGATGCTGGGAACCAGAATAGGGTTGATGGTTATAGTACCCAGGGAATCTTCGTAGGCCTGGCACCAGTGACGATGCTTCAAGGTGCACTGTGTCGCGTCACACCAGTGACGTGGCACAGTAATCGCATCGACCGCGCTTGCCGGTCTCCTGGGGCCTCTGAGTCCCAAGCGGCGGTGAACGGAGAGGACGCTCTGTTCTTTGCCCGCTACCAATGGTACGAGATTATGCATGGCTGTGTAGATGCAAGGGCCCCAGCTCAGGCGGTGCGCCAGATTCCTGGTTGTCTCATCACAGACAGCCGGAATGTTTATGATCGCTTGAACACAGCTGTACTTAGCATCAAGGGTGCTGAGAAGCGGACGAACATTGAGCTGAGTGCACTTAAAGAGAGTCAGGAGCAGACCGGACTCATCATGCGATGGGTCCACTCCGAGGCCCAACTTGCAAATGCTTTGACAAAGGCATCTACGTGTCGAGAGCTGGAGTTATACTACGGCATGAATCACTCGTGGAAGATCGTCGAAGACCCCCAAATGCAGTCGGCCCGACGGCGAAAGGCTCAGGGCAAGGAACCTCTGTCATCTAATTAGAGTCGGATGATGATGAAATGACTGGAAATGCGACTCCGGGGAAGCAGGTGGGATGCAAGTGCACAGGCCACTTGGTTCTTCCTGCTCATGTCTGGCATGCAGAACGCAGTGCAGGCACGTATCACAGCTTTTCGGATCAGAATCATAGAAGGGAACAGCAGGAAAATAGCGCCGTTCGACCGCGCCATTCAATCTGTCTGTAACCTGCGATTCGTTGTGTCCGCTCACTGCTTGGGAACAGAAGCTACCACATCAGAGCTGCCATCACTTGCAGGGTTTAGGGTTTGGGGTTTAGGCTTTCCCTTTTCTGAGGCTTCGCTTAAGGGTTCTACACCACTTCTTTTTCTATATACGGGGCCCCATATATACGCGCTTCGTTGAAGCGTTCTATACCACTTTTCCTATATAAGGGAGCCCATATATAAGTATGTAGAATAATTGCTGTTACGGGTTCTATACCACTTCTTTTCTTTACAAGGGAGACCATATATAAGTATGTAGAAGACTTGTCTCAAACAGATGTTGGGCGATGATTTTACCTACTTTTGGGGGGTTCAGGTAAGGGTTCTCTGCCGCTTTGGAGCAGGCTTGGGGCGCAAAAAACCGATCAAATCTGAAGGCGTTTAGTACTTCCTGGACCCTAAGGAACCTAGCTGTTTACATAGGGTTCTCTAATAGGATTTCTTTTATATTTCTTTTATATAAGTCCATAAAAAGGTAGGTCACTTGGGGTTAAGGTTGGAATAGGATAACTTTCAGGGTTTTGCTTCAGTCGGGATTTGACTCATTAGCACAAGGGTCTTGAGAATTCGATTCCCGTTTCCGTATAAAGGTTCTGTCGGGTTGCAGCGCGTTTGCGCGGCTTAACAAATAGAAGAGGGTTGAGGTTCGGGGGCTCACTATAGTCTGCGTGTACATATGTGCATGCAGAAAGTACCAACATCTACCACCTTCCAGAGTTTCAGAGTAATGTAGGAGCCTTACAATATCTAGACAATGGTTTGGGGCTTATTAACTTATAATAATATACTATAATTCTAATAAGGAGCCCCCAAAGCCCCTAGTCTAATTCTTAAGGCCCCTAGGGTATGTTCAGGTGCTCCTTGGACTCCCACAGAGTCACCTTTGATTTCGTCGGGTTTCGATTCCGACGATTGGCGCCGACCGAATTTATACAGTCTTTTGCACTTTAAGCCGATCTGCGAGTTGGAAATCGGCAACCCTCAATTTTTCCAAAGACTATAGGATCATACGAAGAGCGCGAAAGCTTATATAAACATCAAGGACTTCTGCCGGTCTCCCAACTCTAAATCCCGGAGCAGTGCGAGCATAAGTTCAGGGTTCAGGATTTAGGGTCACGGGTTTAGGGTGCAGGGTTCCGGGCTTAGGATCTATTCAGGTTTAGGGCACTGCCTGAGGTCTTCAAGGCCAAAGCTCTGGACCAGGCAGCTTGTCCTGGAGAAGTCCGAGGTATGGCATAGTGTAGAGGTCGGGAGAATTTCTGGTAGTACCCCTATCCCCTTGTAGTCTCCTTATGATTCTATTGCCATCATAGCTCTCAAAGCCATGTGCTAATTATTCAGGCCGTTTTTGCTACTGAACGGATCCTTTTGGGGATTCTCGGGTCGCCGAGCTTTCGTTGAGGGTTTAGAGTTCAGGGTTTAAGGGCTGAGGGGGAATCGGATTCTTAAGCGATCGTAATCCTTCGCAGAAGAGACTTCGGGGGCCGTGGGTTCACCACGGTTTAGGGTTTAGGGTTTAGGGCTCTGATTGCAGATCCTCGAATCTTACGGTTTAGGAAGTGTTTAGGCCTTAGGCTTTTGGGGTCTTGGGGCTTCTAGGGTTTAGGGAGGGCTAAGGATCTAATGACAGCGTCCTTAATAATTGCCTCTGTATATATATATATATATATATATATATAATTTTGGGGGGTTCCGTTTTGTGCTTATAGTATACTTACTGGGCCCCAATACCCTATTCTAAGTATTAAGGCCCCTACCTGCGACCACCACTATACTATAGTACCCTTACAGTACCCTTACAGTTGTACTTATAGCATACTGGGCCCCAAAACCCTATTCTAAGTATTAAGGCCCCTACCCGCGACCACCACTATACTATAGCACCCTTACAGTACCCTTATTATAGTAACCCTTATATACCCGCTCAATGGAACCCTATTGGAATAGAGGGGTAGGGTCTGTTCCTAATTCTCAAAGGGGAAAAAGAGGGACCCTTAATGGGGACCCCTACCCGAAAAATGGGCTATATTAAGGATATATAATAGCTATATTAAGGGTATATACCTACGGGTCCTTTTTAAGGGCCCCTCCTGCTCCCCAAAGAAATTCTGCCTCGAATGCACTGCCCGACTGAGCCGAGGTACGGAACCCACCTGCATCGCTGCCCAAAGAGCTTCCTGGATACAGTCGGTGTGGGGGGGGGGGGGGGGGGGTAAGGGGTTTCCGGTTTAGGGTTAAGGAGTTTGGGCTTAGGGTTTAGAGTTTGGGGGTTTAGGGTTCAGGGTTTAGGATTAAAAGGTCAAGGATTTTGGGTTTTGGGTTTGGAGGGGGGCGGGGTTGCAGTTTTTTTTTTGGATTTGTATAAGGACCCAAGGAGGGTTCGTAGATCTGGATAGGCTTCGCTTTGTATCTGGTATCTGGAATAGTATTTATGAGGGTCTTAGACAGATTAGATACCAGCTGTGCCCCTACAGCTCTGTGTTGATTACATAATCCCTATAGAACCAAAAAGGTTAAGCTTTAGTTCCCCGTAATACCCGACAAGTAGGTTTAATAATCCGACTGAAAAGATTACAGAAATGGTCATGCACAGAAGCTATGATATTAAGAAGGGATATCCGTGCAAATCCCAGCCCTCGAAATCGTGCACTTCTCTCAGCAACACACTGATCTCTGCGACTCCGGTCATTACCCTGAACCCTTCACCAGGAAGACTAATTACGCCATACGGGTCCACGTACAAAAATAGTAGTACTTAGTAGATACTTGAACCCCCAAAGTATATACTCTACTACTGCCTGTGACCATTTCGGAAGCGTCCGATCTGAGGGCGTGGGCCATGGTTGGAGGCTACGATGCTGCCCAGCCTGCCTCAGAGCTCCTTCAGCAAGCCAGATGCAATTAGACGTTATTGTTTGTTTTTGTGGTCCATGTGTGTTGCGCGGTGTTCCTTTGTGCATGCGTTTTTGGGCAGGGGCTGGTTATTGGTCTTTCGGGGTAATCTTTGTTTGTAGCGTGCTTGAACCTTTTTGTTTCATGGGGTTTGCGGTTAAGGCTTTCGGTTTTCAAGTGTATAGGATTATACGGGTTTTGTTGTTTTGAGTTTAGGAGTTCTTCCGGTTAGGGTGGAGGGCTACGGGGTTTGGGCTTTGCGGTTCAAAGGTTAGGGCTGTCGATTTAGGGTGTAGAGGGTTCAGCGTCTTAATTATGCTTTTGCACTCATACATCCTCCAGGGCCTCAGTTCAGTATGTTCTGTTACCTTCATCAGCAAGCCCTTGGATAACCGTTCAGGCTACGCTCGTAAATCCTGAACCAAAGCCCTGAACTAAGCCCCTAACTTTAAACCTAGACATCGAGGTACATGATGCGCGATATGCCGGATGGCACGCGCCAGCCGAGCATTATCTACAACGGCTTCTTAGGCATCCAGCGTTGCTTTGTGTTGTCTAGAATGTTGAATGTTTTTGTGTAGTGTTACAGAGGTGCTACATGGGGGAGGTCCTTAACTTTGAGGGTCACCTTCTTCCAGGGTGTCTATATACATCAAGGGTCCTACTATTCGGTTCGCGATCGGTTTGCATATCAGGGCATCACTTCAAGCTTGAGTCGACGGGGATCTGCTCAAGGCCTACGGTTGATGATATAAATCCTGCTTTACCCATACTAAGGAGCATACCGTAATTCCCATGGTCTAGGGTCCTTAAGGTACTTGTAGTGCAGGGTTTATATCATCAACCGTATGGACGATTGTGGCTTCATAGTGCGCCTTCGCTCAGCTTCCCGCGAGTGAAGACACAAAGCTTTGGCATCTTTTGAACACCCTACAGGAGCCGTTGAAGCCAAACTACCCTTGATAGGCATCTGGTTTTCAGTAATGGGTGGGTACTTGGGACTAAACATCTGTCACTACGCAGGTAACTTTATGACAAGTATCAGAGTTAGGCCGTCGGTGTGTTGTAGTGTGTACGGTAAACTCCAACGAACAGAAGTTGTTCATGCCACTGCTCAGTGCAAAGTCGTCGACCTTGTCTGCCCCAAACCAACTGCATTACCAACGAAACCCACACTGATAGGAATCGTGCGAAATTCTTCAGCCAGCAGAGCAGAGTCTTTCGCTCGAGAAGCAGCTAACGTACAACAGTAGTACAACATCCGTAGTTCGGCCCGAAACTATAAACCCGAATTCCAACCCTATGCCGCAACTGCTGTGTGCATCACCTAAACACTCCAGAATACGAACCTACAATGATTCTTGCTAGCCTAAGCTATGCCTGATTATCGGCTACTTTGGATTCTTTGGCAATCGCTCAACAGGGGACGACTACCAGCCGTTGCCGCTAGATGAAGCCAGCTGCCGTGCCTGGGCTTTGTATATCCGGTCTGGGGATAGGGCGTTAATACAGACTAGGGCCTAGGGTTCCCTTAATAGGGATGCATTAGGGTTCGGTTTGGCGGTCCCAGATGTTGTAGTTCGGTTCGATACCGGAGCGGGCGGTTCGATACAATGCTCGGTCAAAGTATTGTTGAAACGGCCATGGCTGCGTCAAGAGTTAAAGTCGGGTTTGGGGGTTCTTCTACTATAAATGTGTCAAGGAAGCTCCAGGGATAGTATGAGGGTCTAGCAACCTACTGCTTTCAGAGGTGTTATACTGTAAATACCCTCGTAATACCGTGTCAAAACCCAATAGCTTACGAGTGTTACACTGGTTAGACCCAGTACTTATCGAGTCTGAACCTACTATTTGGTAGGGTTTGCAAATACAAGGCAGGCACATTCCTGACTTAAAGGAAATCTTCTTTTAGGCTTGGTATATGAACCCTTAAACCCCTACACCCCTAAACCCTCCTAGGGGCCTCCGGGCAAAGCCGGGCCCAAGGCTTCAAACGCTCTACGAACCACCCCTGAACCCACAGTAGAAGCCGGAAAGTTGGAAACCCATTAGCCTCAATCCTTAAGAGTAATGTAAAGGGAATCCCAGCACTATTTGGCCTTAATCCGGTTTCCAACTTTATGGGGCTTCCTGCAAGCTGCTTCCGGAGGGCTGTGGTTGGTCTAAGAACGGCCCCTACCTACAGTCTCCATTGTATATAGTTCCTTTTGTTGGGTCAACCATAAATTAGTTTAACGGATCCTAACCATAACACTGGCTAGCCATAAACTAATTTACAGGATCCTAACCATATAACTGGCTAAGCAAAAAACGAACTACAGTGGAGACTATCGGTACAAGGCCCTAAACCCTATACCCTGAGAGAATCCTTCTAGATCCCTTTAAAGAGACCCTGAAAGGAACCCTTAAAAGATACCTAAACCCTAAAGCCTAAGCTCTGAGTTCGTCGGAGGATGGCTCCGGGCGGGAGGCGTTCGCTTCGTGGCCTCCGGACATTTGCAGCAAGGATGCAGAGCTTGGGTCAAAGGGGAAAAGGAGGGACCCTTAATAGGGACCCCTACCCTATAATGGGCTATACAATGGGCATATAATGGCTATATTAAGGGTATATACCTAGGGGTCCTTATTAAGGGTCCCTCCTTTTACCCTTGGATTGGGGTTTCTTTGGTAGTCTTGATACTGCTGATGGACAAAATCCTGCATTACCCATTATAAGGAAGATACCATCTTCCCATAGTGTGTAGAGTCCTAAGGGTCATGCAGGATTTTGTCCATCAACAGTAGGGTTTTATAAGACCCTGGGATCCTTATATACCTACTACAGGGTTTAGGGTTTATAGGGCCAACTATATACCCTAATGTAGGAAGCTGATTAAGAAACCTTGGGTCTTTATGAGTTCCTTTAATTTAATGAATCCTACTATTTGGGGTTACAGGCCCAGGGTTTCTTAATCAGGTTCCTACATTAGACTTGATAGGGTTGTATAAGTGTTGTTTTTGGGTGGGGGAGGGGGTTGCGAGTTTGATCTTATGGTATAAGGGGTTGATAGGCTGTTATCAGGCTTAGCAGGTTGTAAAGGTTTATAAGCATGTCCCTGACGGCTTGTACAATACTGTCGACCCCTGGTGAATAGTCCCCATTCGAGAAGAAGGATTCTTACAGGGATCCTTGGCATCGCGGCCCTTGCAGACATAGCATTTACCCATCAGGGGTCTACCATGGGGTAAAAGATGAGCGGCTTGGGCCACTCAAGGCCTACTCCTATACAACTACACTGTTTGATCATAACATATCATAGCCCTAACCTTGAAACCTGAACCCTAATCTGTCGTCGTAACATAACATAGCCCTATAAACCTTTAAACCTAAGCCCGAAAGTGTCGTTTCCACTTGGGTCCCAAGGACACTTTGCGTGTGAACCCCGAGCTCCTGACACGAAGCTACAAACCTCAGTTGGGATGTAGGTATGGTATTTATGTACGTTCATTGTTCCTGCCACAAGTACATAGGATGTAGGTTCGGTTCTAGACGGAGAAGAGTCGTTTTGCGACGGGGGGAGGGCGAGGTTATGGAGCTTCCGGATTTGTGACGTGTGCCTGGATTAGATCGCAGCCGGGCTTAGATTCTTTCCCCAGAACCTACACAGAGACTCCATTATCCCTTAATTACGGAATAGACCTTGAATTATAGTAGGATCCCTAATACGTTTTAAGGAATATTCCTTAATAAGGGGATATTGGAGTCTCCGGGTAACTCTCAGCAGGATTTCTGGGCACCGCTCCAACATTCAATGAACACCGGAAATCCACATCGCCAAGCCCAAGGCCGAACGGCGATGCTCCGTTGGTGATGCGCTATGAGGCCAGTAGTTGGGTTTACTTGCGGGTTGGGGCTTGGGGTTCAGGAGCAGGTAGGTTTGAGGATTTAGGTTTCGATTTGAGGTTTTGGTTATTGGGTTGTGGGGACGACGACGATCCCAAGGCGATGAGATCGATGGTGTTGATCGATGAGGTGTTGGTTCTGATGGTCACAGTGATGCTGCTGCGTCTGATGATGATGATTGGAGGGGGGGTGATGATCCTGATGGGGGTATTTGTGCAGGTGAACTTGGTGGGTTGTCTGTGTGCTGAAGATGATGGGCCCCGTAAACCCTGATAGGTCCTGATAATGATGGGAACCTGCTATAATGTTACAGCGTCTGTAGAGAAGCAAACCTGCCGTGTAGGATGTCACCATCGTCAGTGCTGACATCTCCTACGCCGAAAGCGCCACTTGACTGAGGACAAAGCCCATATGGGAGTTTCCGAAATTAAGGGTACCTTATTTGGGGGTTCTTACAATAAGGATCCTACTATTTAGGGTACTATATTCGGGTCCCCTACTTTCGGAAGCTCCCCTTTAAAGTCGTCCGGGTTTCGGGTTAGGGTTCAGGTCTCGAGTGCCTGGCGTGTCTTGTTACCTGGCTGCATAAGTTTGTTCCTGTGGTTTCGTCCTGACTCCACGGGGCAGTAGGCTTTCTGAAGCCTCCGCTAGTTTAGCAAGGTCGAAGGGTTATAGAGTAATTGGAACTCAACTTGAGGTACCCATAATGGGGTTTAGTTTATGGCTGAGGGTCAATTTTTTCCGATTTGGCCTCAGGATTTTGGGTGTTAGGATTTGGGGTCAGGGGTGGGAAACGGTCTTTCAACATCTGTTGATGGGTTCATACAGTGTTTTGTAATCGTGTCTACGAGGTTTCACGGGGTACCTTAACTTGTTTTGAAGAAACTCTTCAGCTGATAAAGGGATAATTAAGGACTAGTATTGCTATAGGAAGCAAGGGCCCGAAGTTTGCAGTCAGAAAGAACTCCCCAAACCTGCGCCCCCCAAGCGAAAGCTGAAGCAGATGGCAGGTCAGCTACGAGGACGCGGAAAGCGATCGGCTTCCCTCCGGAGAAGCCGTCTGTAAACGGGATGCAGTATGAGTTTTGGTTCTAGGGGATTGGTAGGGGTTTAGGGGTTTAGTCCTGGGGTTCGGGGTCTCTTGGAGTTAAGGGGTTCAGGGCTGCTGATGAAAAGGTGAATGTACAGTGGAACTTACCCATGATGAGAGTTTCTTCCCACTTGAGATGCTTCTCTAGCGTTTAAACAGATAGGTTCTTGCTTTTGCTTAGGATTGACCTGGTTTCTGGAGAATTTGAGTGGTCCTTAACGTAAGGACCCCAATACTTGGGTCATATTCTAGGGTTGCTCATTTATTAGACTCGCATGCGCCTGTTGACACCGACTGCGGAAGGGTTTGGAGCGATCTTGTTCCCTAAATTCTACCTAGACCTACTAAACCCTACTCTTTGATAGGTTCTTATGAAAATGGAACTGTTAGGGATCCTACAAGAAAGTAGGCTCTGGTGGGTTAGGGCAAGCCCTGGTTTGAATAGTTGGGCATCTCTATTTGAGACACAAGGTAGAAGACTTTGCTAATTACTGCAACAGCAGGCTGCAAGTTGAGAGGTTGGGCGTTGGGGTGAGGGTTCAGGGATTACTTGGAGGTTCATGGGTAGTTATAAATGGGGTTGTACGTCTTGTAGTAGGGGTTATAACCATAGTTGCCCAACTTATAACCCCTTTTATAACTACCCATGAGCCTCCAAGTAGGGTTTGGTTTAGGGGTCAGGGCTTCACGTTCAGGGATTAGGGTTTAGGGGTCAGGGATTAGCCTTCAGGGATTAGGGTTTAGGGGTGTGCTGCCCGATGAGGCGAGGTGCTTTTCTCTCCGACGATGGAGCAGGACCTGATCGGTTCTCCCAAAGGGTCCAAGTATCATTATGGCATATACTTAGGCCCCCAAAATTTCCCTATAAGTATATACCATAATGATACTTGGACCCTTTGGGTCTTGAAAACGAGCATAGCCGAAGTTGCCATCAGGAGATCGTTTTTCTTGGAGCCCTCAACTTCGAAACTTCTGAATCCCCGGGAGGATCCAAAAAGTAGATCCCTTAATGGGGGCTTCCTAAAAGTACCCTTAGTAGTATAGGGCCGCAAATTAGGGGATCTACTTTCTAGATCCTCCGGGGGATAACCCTAAACCCTGGACCCTAAACCCCAAACCCTACACTTGAGGCTATCTGCCCCTTAACAGAAGCCCGCATAGATCAGATCCATGAGAGCCCCCCTTAAAAGAGCGGAAGGACTGCATTTGCTCCCAAACCCCTGAGGGTTTAGGGTTGAGGTGTTCAGGGTTTACGGTTTAGGATTGAACCTCAAATCCAAGAATCCCTTCAAGCCTGCAAGGTCCTTTAAGCCCGGAACCGCAAGTCATACTGCCACGACCTCAACCAGAAAAGTAGATGCTGTGTACTGCCCCCGGTGTAATATCAGAAACCCATGTTGCTATGATCCGGCCAGGTAAGTTTAGAGCCTATGATAGCAGTCCGGGAACGAAACACAACGGAGCTTACGTGCGAAGCTGTATCGTCAAGCATCCTGCGGCCATAACCGCTCCCAGGTGCTTGAAACTCTATGCCGGAAGCCGCCCTAGGCTACGCCTGCACCAGCCCCAAATCCAAGATCCCCTGATGCCTGAGTTCCTAAGACCCCGAAGCCTTGAAAGACACCAACCCCCACAGGCACTAGCCCCAGTAGTAGATGTCCTCCTGTTTGGTTTGAGACTGAGATTTACCCTAGCTGAAGAGAGGAACAAGGGAATCAGTTCTTGCGACCCTAAACCCTTTCAAGGCTCGTATAGGTGCCTGCGAAACTATTCCGAAGAGTTCCTTACTACAAAAGCCCCTTTTCGCATCCTCAAAGCAGACCCCAAGATACCTTCTTGCAATCCCAAACCCTAGACCCCAAAGCCACCACAAAAGAAACTCCAAAAATCCTACAGTGAACACCCTGAACCCTTAAACCCTAAACCCCTAACCCCTAAACCGCAAACCCCACACCCTGTCTCCAAACGAAAAGCCGGAGGAGAGCCGTGTCCATGGCACTCTCCGAACTGGCCTCCGGCACTCTGCCAGACTCGGCCCCTTTGTCGAAATCGAGGTATCTACAACAAAAGCCCAAAGGGTCCAAAGTACCGATTTAGTGGGTTTCTATATATTTGGGGAAGTATTCCCCATAACAGTATGTAGGACCCTTTGGGAAAGGCTACTATGATAGCCTTCATGTGCTGGAAAGGTACTATAATAGCATACCACATTGGGTTTTGGGTCGGGGATTTTCGGGTACAGGGGTTCGCGGGTTCGAACATGTCGGCTGTTTTTCCAGGTCCTGTGGCCGTCGTGGTGATGGCTACGGTGTTTGTATTTGGGTACACGGTTCCGTGTTGGGTCTAGCGGCGCTGCACTTTCGGTTTGCGCGTTGGAGTTTGAACTGCACAGTGTCCATGTCCTGGGACAGAGGGCTTCAATTTTGGCTCCGGCCGTGTCACTGCTGGATAAAAAAACTTAAATCGTTTCATGATCAGTGACCGTAGCTCCGGCACTCAGAGCCAGATTTCCAGACGTCCAGGCGATGCCGCGCTGGGAAAGGTAGCTGCTGGAAACTGGCGTGTGGCCTCCCAGAGACTTTGGGTTCAGGGTTTAGGGTTCAGGGTTCAGGGCTTAGGGGTTTAGGGTTTAAGGGTTTAGGGTTCTTGGTTTGGGGGTTTAAGGGTTAAGGGTTTAGGGTTTGGGGGTTTTAGGGTTTAGGGTTAAGGTTGCTTGAGGAGATCTGCTTTGGGAATCACAGTGCCTTGCATCATCTCCTGACCCTACATTCACACCGCCTAGATGTTGATGCTGGTATTTGCTGGGCTCCCTTCCGGATTGTCACGGAATTTACTGGAGTTTACAGGCAAACGGAGGTTTGTTGATTAAGCAGTAGAGGAGGCGGTTGTGCTTGTGGTGATTTTTGTGGGGTGGTGACTGCCAGCCTTGCTGACGACTTGACTTCGCTCTCGATGTGGGTTTAGATTTAAGATTTAGCGCTTGACGTCTGTGAGGAACCTGCCGGTAATGGTTTGTCCTTGTGCCGATGCCTGTGCCATCTCTGCGCTTGTTTGAAAGTGCATCAGCCATGGTCATGTCCAGTACAACCATCAACCTTGAGCTACACATCGTAAGCCGGCCCCAATCGAAACGATCACAATAGCAAGTCCATCTGTGTCAATGCAAGATGGCAGTCTGTTGCATGCACCTGTGAAGCCGACGATGATGATCAGCGTGGTAATCTTCTAATCCGGCACATCAGGTACCCAAAACGGGACCCTAACTTTGACAACTACCCATGTAGAAGATCAGCAGCACGATGACGAGGTCACGATGACGAGGTCGACGCTGACAAAGGCGGTGATGATACCGACCAAGATGGTGAGGTGAGCTTATCAAACAGAAAGCTACGTGGACTGGGTGGAATGCGATGACGACCACTACCTGAATCGTGATGTTGATGTTGTCGTTGATGATGGCCTAGGGTGACGATGGTGAGGATGATGATGATGATTGGCTGCAAAGATTGTTGGTGCGACTTTTTTACTGCAAGCCGTCTTGCGACGGCAGCAACCGCCGCTCCTCCTGCCGCCTAGACCCTATCCTCCGCCCTAAACCCCTTGCCCAAAATCATAAAACACCTAAACCCTCGCCCAAAATCATAGACTCATAAACCCGAAACCCCCGAAATCCGCAAGCTTTTCCATGCCGACGACGAGCTGCTAAGGTGTCAAGAGTCGGGCAGGGGAGTTCCTCGTACTCTCAAGGCACTTCGCTTGAATTTGTCTGCATGTTTTCTAAGTCGGGGGACACATAAGGGTGAGATTTTTTTGCAAAAAATCCTCTATACGTCGGTGGAAACAGAAGGATGTCGAAGATGCCACAGACACTCGAGGGCTTCCGGGCTTGTGGTTGCTGATCATAGGGTTGCAGGTTTAGGCTTGAGGACTCCCGAGCTCTTGTTGTTTTAGGGCTTCAGGTTTAGGGTTTAGGGTTAGGGGTTCAGGGTTTAGGGGTTGTGGGTTTAGGGGTTTAGGGTTTTGGGTTTTTAGGGTCTATAGGGTTTATGGGTTCTAGGGTTCAGGGTCTAGGGTTTTGCGGCTCTTTGTTTTTTGGGTAGGAGGCTTAGGGGCTTCGGGCATATAGAACTCGGGAAGCTGTTTAGGAAGGTTTCGGGCCGAGAATGTTGAGCGTTTTGTACGCATGGAGCGAGCCATTGAATGGGAAGGCTGATTGTGCCTGCTTCGAGGTTGTTTGAGGTTTCTGTTTTCACTTACGCTTTCCTTCGCGGAATGCTTGTTTGCAGGAACATAGCTGGGACGTAGACAAACAAGATTACCGACGACATGGAAAAAGCAACTGCCGCAGGAAGGATACACCATACTACATGTCCTCAAGTCTGACGGTGCAGCAGCCACGAAATGGATTTGTGCGCACTCTTGTCTCTAACATCGTGTTCAGTACGTGTGAGCAGTGTGAGTATATGCACATCTGCATGCATGCATGGATGGATGGATCGATGCATGGGTTCATGTACGCATATATGTAGGTGTGTACTTCATGTATGCCTGTATGTATGTACGCATGCTTGTATACTACATTAGACGTGTATGTAGTGTGCCTCCATTCCTAAAGAAATGCACCCGCGCCTTGCACTCAGTATACAAAGCTTATAGGCCTTAGAGCCTGAACCTTAAACCGTAAACCTTGAAGCCTAAACCCTAAACCCCTAAACCCTAAACATATATACCGATGTATAATATTTAAACCTTGAAGCCTAAACCCTCGATCTTAAACCAACTTTGGAGTATCGGTGTCCAGGAACGAGCGCTGGGACTTCTCTTGCCGGCTTGCGCGCGAAGCCGACGTGGAGCTCGACTGAGAGCCGCTACAAGTGCTACTACGAACAAAGCCAGCAGCGACAGGAACAACAGCAACAACAACAACAACTACAACACAACTACCACTGCCACTGCTGCTGCTACTGGTACTGCTACTGCTACTGCTATTGCTACTGCTAATACTACTATTACTACTACTACTACTACTACTACTACTACTACTACTACTACTACTACTACTACCACTACCACTACCACTACCACTACCACTACTACTACTACTACTACTACTACTACTACTACTACTACTACCACTACTACTACTACTACTACTACTACTACTACTACTACTACTACTACTACTACTACTACTACTACTCCTACTGCTACTGCTACTGCTACTGCTACTACTACTACTACTACTACTAGTACTGCTACTGCTACTGCTACTGCTACTGCTACTGCTACTGCTACTGCTACTGCTACTGCTACTGCTACTGCTACTGCTACTGCTACTGCTACTGCTACTGCTGCTGCTACTTCTACTGCTGCTGCTACTGGTATTGCTACTGCCACTGCTACTGCTACCGCTACTGCTACTGCTACTGCTACTGCTGCTGCTAGTGGTATTGCTACTGCTACTGCTACTGCTACTGCTGCTGCTACTGCTACTGCTACTGCTACTGCTACTGCTACTGCTACTACTACTACTACTACTACTACTACTACTACTACTGCTACTGCTACTGCTACTGCTACTGCTACTGCTACTGCTAACTGCTATCTGCTAACTGCTAACTGCTACTGCTACTGCTACTGCTACTACTACTACTACTACTACTACTACTACTACTACTACTACTACTACTACTACTACTATTGCTACTGCTACTGCTGCTACTGCTACTACTGTCCTATCACTACTACCACCACTACCATCACCACCGCACCATTGCCACCAGTGCCAGTTCTTGCTCACAGCAGCATCCGCAGCAACAGCGTTCGCCGAAAAGCACTGTAACGTCTCTGAGTGCGTTGGAGTCGTGGGTGTGGGGAAGCGAACGCAATCTTACTGCTGGAAGATCCTCATCCAAACCATCCCTAGGCCAGGACGGCTCAAATCTGTAGAGACTCCGACGTTTCTGGGACATACCGAGGAGCAGGGTTCGACTTTCGGCCACAGTGAAGTAGCAAGGATTGTGAGCAGGTCACGTCGTTCCAATAGCGAGAGTGTCAACACTTCTGGCAGCAACATGTCCTTTTACAGCACTTAGAAACGTAGAAGAATAGGCATTTGCTGCGCTGTTGTTTGTGACAACCAAGCTGATACCGGCTCTGACGATGATGCTGACGAGTATCGATGCGAGCCCATTTGGGAGTTTCCGAACATAGGGTCATAGGGGACCCTAAGAAGGTACCCTAAACAGTAGGATCCTTATGAGAAGAACCCCAAAATAAGGTACCCCTATTTTCGGAAGCTCCCATTTCACTTCAGCGACCTTGAAAGTTTGAAGCGTCGAAGGCTTCGGAGCCCCACAGCCGAAACCTTGAAGCTCGTGAAGCCCCTGGACCCAAACAGGATCCTTTAAAGGGGTCTATAAGGCCTACAATAAGGGATCTATAGGGGTACTAAATTATGTGGGGCCTTCATAACTCGAACCCTGAGAAACCCCAGGCCACAAAGTAGAACATAGCGATCCTATCCGTAGTGCCGACAGCGCAAAGGCCGACAACTGCCAAGTCTTGAATTCGTCTAGCGAATATTCCCTAAGGCTCCATGTGCCCATCTAGTATATACTTAGGCCTTAAAGTACCCATACAGGGACCCCTTTAAGGCCTAAGTATCTACTATAAAGGTACATGGAGCCTTTGGGATTGTAAGCACCAAGAGAAAAGACATGAAGTTTTAACCCCGCTACTACTACACCCCCACAAAACCCAGACACCCCAAACCCTAAACACCCAAAGGCCGAAATCGGGAAGCAACAAGCATAGACACCCCATGAAACACAAGTAAACCTCCAAATAACCTAACGCAAATCCCAGAACCCTTATAACACCAGAAAAAAGCAATCACCCGAAGGCCACTCGAAAGGAGACCTCCACCGCCGTGGCGGAGGATGCGTTGCCTTTTGGATGTAGGGCTCCCTATGAGGCTGCTGAAAGGTCTCGTTTACCTAGTAGCAGAGTAGGTAACCTTTGACCTTTTTTTGGGTAGTATAGTCCCTATCTAATCCCTCTATAACCAAAAAGGTTAACCTTTAGTTCCCCATGATACCCGACAAGTAGGTTTAAGGGCTGCTTCAGTGGATTCTGTAAGGGTCTCGGGTTTAGGGTTCCTGTAAAGGCTCTTGTGTTTACGATGTGGCCAGGGTTTCAAGGTTTCCTCGGATTCTTTACTCTTGCGATTAGGGGATAGGCCCGGATAGGCTGGCTGAAGGGTTCTGGCGAGGGTTCACAAGGCTTTGATTGGATTTTATGTGGATTGTATAGGGTCATACAGTGTGTCTTGCTGGGATTCCTTTGTTTGGGCTTCTTGAGATTTAGATCCTTCTCGTTAGGGTGTGGATAAAGCTTCAGAGGTTTCAGTGTCATCGGGGTCAGTGTTCAGGGCTGTCAAGGTTTACGGTTCTATGTGGTTCGGATCCTTTCCAAATTTAGGGTCTTGGATTTCGAATGTAGTACAGGCCTAAAGCCCTCAAGCCTGAACTCTTATAATTACCCCAAACCCCTAAACCTCTAAATCCTAAAAAACCCTAAACCATGAAGTGCAAGCGACGAAACAGGCCCTTTAAAACCATAAAACAAAACTAAGCCCCCTACCCTGATCCCCGCAGTCCTATACCCTAAAGCCCTATAAACCCGTGTACTTATACGGAGGGGGGGGGGGGGCTTTTGGGCTAGAGTCTACAGTGTAGCGCTGAACTGGCAAGCCGGAAGTACATGCTTAAAGCACTGAGTTTTAGGGTGGTGTTCAGTGCCCCAGAACATGATCGTTACCACCTTTTTGTTTGGGTGTTTCGAGCAGCTGTTGTTGCTGACGGTGAGTCGAACATGAGCCACCCTGAAGCCATCAACCCAATAGCCATAAGCCGCCACAACACTACTCCGTATTCCTGAAACGCTTGCAAGACACGTCTTAAATTCTCGGAAGATCCTGTAGAAACTGCACCCTATAAACGAAGCCTTGTGAATAGGTGCTAAACCCCAAGCCCGAAACCCCTGCTATGAACACCAGACCTGGACAAGGAGCAGTCGAAAATGCAGGAAGCCTTGGAGAAGAAGCGCCAGGACCGCTGAAACTGTAGGCCTCCCCTGTCGGCAGAGGAAGACCTTCGCGCACAGAGGGTTTAGGCTTTTGAAGGTCCCGGGCACGTAGTAACTAGCTAGGTCGATGTTTTTGTCTGTTTTACCTTTTCCTTTAAAATTTTAGAATTTGGGAGCATCTCGTTTAGGAACATTATTCGGCGGGCCTCGGCCTCAAAGTTCGACTGTATTACGATTCCCTGAGCTGCATTACAGAGTACGTTGCCCGTTAATCCCCTAGCCCATGAACTCCAGAGCCCTTTCAACCCTAAAAGGGCAACACAGAGAACACCTCCCAAGGCCCCCATGAAAAGTTGTGTGTGCACCTGCAAGACGCCTATTCCACCCGCGAGAAGCCCTTGGACTCCCAAACCCTAAACTTTCAACCCTTGAGCCCTACCTACAGTCTCCATTGTAGTTCCCTTTTTTAGTTAGCCAGTTTTAGGGTTAGGATCCTATAATAGAGATTTTGGTTAACCCAAAAAAGGAACTACAATGGAGACTATAGGTAAGCCAAAAACCCTTATCCCCTGACCAGGAGCTGCAAGACGCAGTGACTGTGGCTTCCTCCTTCCTGGCGGGTAGCGACAGCCAGGTGCGCATAGCTCTAGAGCGTTAGGGCTTTCGTGCGGGCTTGAGGGCTTTGGTGGCTTTAGGACTTGGGGTTTGGAAAGTTCAGCTAGGTATGTAGGGCTTCGGGTTTAGGGGTTTAGGGTGTAACGGTGAAGGATGTCTGGGGTCAGGGCTACAGCAGCGCGAAAACCAAGAACAGCGAACCGAGCCGCGAAACTTCTGTAGTCATCATGCCCATGATAATGATGATGATCATCATCATCAGCAGCATCGTCGCCATCATGGCCATCAGAATTTTTCAGCATCCTCACCATCATCATCACCACCATCATCATCACCAACATCAACATCAACATCAGCACACCCGCATCAGACTCGCGTAGGGCTACGTAAGGAGTGTGACTATAACCACAAGGGAAAGCATGACACATGCCCCGAAATGTTGTTGGCAATGCAACAGATACGGAGAAGTATTCATCGACTGCAACCATTAAAGAAGTGGATCGCCCCCTTGCACAGAAGGACCTCAAACAAGAATCAGCTACCCCCTGGCACGTCTCGGACACATCGTGGTTTGTTTTTCGGTGGCCCTCCTTTCTGAATCTCTCAAAACGCAAGTTGTAGCAGAGCTTCGAAAAGCTTCGGGCAGCATATATTAAAATCGAGCTTGATAATAAGATAACCTAGATACTAGTAGTATGTACCCCCCACCATAGAACATGCCATGAAACCCTATCCTACTTGTTAAGGCAGGAATCTTCACCGCTTTCTGAGAGAGTTTAAGGTTCATCAGGGTTTAGGATTCTAGAGTAAAGGAGCCTGAGTAGATAGCAATACTGTTGCTGGGGGTTCCTGAATCTGGAAATGCGATAATGTACACCAAAAAACCTTGTTCACACAGTCGAGACTCCTCTGTCTTAGAATCCTTATAGTCCTGTAGAACCCCATAACTATTGATATCATCTAGACCAACACCCAAGTTATGATTATTACGGCCCCGATAGTACCCCAAAGGGTCTAAGTATCATCTTGGTATATACTTAGACCCCCCAAAATACCCTATAAGTATATACCAGAATGCTACTTAGACCCGTTGGGGTACTTAGTATTAGCAGCTTCAGCTTCGCTCGCCACGGCAGGAAGTGAACGAGCGCCCGGGGGCCCGGGAAAGGAACTATCCTGATAAACCCTAAACCCTAAACCCTAAACACCCTAAACCCTAAAGTGTTGTTTAGGATTATTCTGGCGGATTTTTTATTGGCATTTAGAGGTTTAAATTTAGGCTTTCGATGTTGAAGGTTTTTCGGTTTGAAGGCATTTGGATGTTCCTGGGCTTTCGGCTTTGAGGTGATGGTTGAGGTTGTCATGGTCATGCGTTGGGTGAGGGAAGGGCGGATGTATAAAGTCTGAGCGCTGCTCGTGGCCTCAACTTAAACCTCTACTACTGTTTCCTTGGCTCACAACCGAGTAGTAGCATTCCATGTAATTCCCTGAGAAGGCAGCCTTGGGACGATTGTATTCTAGCAAAGGATTTGAAAGTTCCCGATGACTCGGGCTATTCTAAGTGCAGCGTAGGTCAACACAACACATGCTGATGCTGTCCATGTAGAGTCCTTGTCAATCCTTGCTTGGACCGTGTAAGGTTCAAGCCTTTAGGTTGTTTCCTAAGTATCGATTCATGGTTTGGGTTTTGAGATGTATGTAGCGTGCCTTAGTGTTCAGGGCATCGTGTTCAGGGTATCGTGAAGTCTGGGCCAAGGAATGGCTCATAAGGTGAACCAGGCGAATCGAAACGTAAGGGTTCTATGCAAGGTGGGGTCCGGCAATGGTCTTCAACAGGCAGTTCTGCTCCCAACGCGAGCCGAGTAAATTAGTTTTTTTTTTTATGTAAGTTTGATCTCCAACGGAAAAGGGCAGCATGCATAGGGCAGACAAGGACCTTCAACCCTGAAAACCTCAACACTGCAATCCTAAACCCCAAACCCTGACACCCTAAAGCTAAAGTCCCAAAGCTACCAAACCAGAAACCCCTGAACCCTTAAACTTTTAAGCCCTTAAACCCCCAGTCCTAGGAAGCCGAAAGCCTGTAGAATCTTTACAGAACCCTTGTAGAACCCTTATGGACCCTTATAGAACCCTAAACCTTACACCCTAAACCCTTGCGCTGGCGCGTTCAGGAGAAAGGGCCGTCAACATAGTTTTAAAGCAAAACCTTGCCAACACCTTCAGGTGTGAGCAGGAGCATCGAGCCCTTGGCCAGACTGGAGGCGGCAAGTCTTTAAGCGGTTTAGGGTTTAGGCCAAGGGTTGTGCAAGGATTGAATTGGGCTTCTGTTGAGTTTTTTACAGCTCTAAGAGGATCAGGATTCCATAAGGGTTTTAAGAGTATGCTATAGGGCTTCTATGAGTTTAATCAGAGGGTTCTGTCAGGATGCCTACAGGGATTCCTGGTTTGGGGTTCAGGGGTTTATGGGCTAGAGTTTAGGGGTTGGAATGGAGCAACACTATATAGTACAGCCCTCTTCCAGTTTGTGCTTCAAGTATACCATTATATACCCAAAGCCGTATGCTGTTGCTTTAATGGCCCCTGTACAACTGTATTACAAGGTTTGATGCATGTGTTAGTTCTTTCAGGTTTTTATAGGGTCTCATCAGGATTCAGGCTAGGTGTCTGTTTTGATGCCTACAGAACGATCAGTGCTTGGGTTCGTACCGTGGTAGCAACAAGTCAGCCAGCTTTGTGAATGTTCAATGAAGATGTTGTTGTGTGATTTCCGTCATGTGAAGCCAGTGTTGCGCAGTACTGTCATCCAATTGCATGGCACCAACATTGGGATGATGATAATGCAGCAACAGCTGCTGCTGCTGCAGCGTCTACTACGGTAGCACTTCTGCATGCTGTCGGTCACTTGACAAGAGTCGTGGTCGCGTAATCGACGCCAAGATCGTGGCAACTCTTCCAATCGCCCTTCCTCCAACCCTGAAAGCGATAAGCCGATACCTGAGACCGCTGTTGCCCGAAACTCGTGAAGCCTTACACCGGGTAAGCCCCAAACGTCAAAGCCATAAATCCTGAAATCGATATTTAGGGGCCTCAAATCAGTGACGGTATCCCTTGGGCCTTGGCGTTCCTTGTCGTAACTGGTGTCGCAACCCCATTCTAATTGCCTCCTGATCCGCAAGCTTGCATCCACAGCGGAAAAATAGGGGCCTACATACCAATGCTATTTTAGGGGTTCCTCGTTATAATTGAAGTATAATGGGGCCCGAAACCCTATCCTAATTCTTAAGGCCCCTATATTACGCAGGTGGCGAGGCAGTCGGAAACTGACCCACAGGTGCCTTGGTCCTTTACACGGTTTAGGCGTACGGGGATTGATCTGACGGTTTCAGGTTTCGGGATCCCGTGCTGCAGGTCTGGTCGTGAGGCTTGGAGTTGCAAGCAGGGCTTTGCGATTTGCTTCCGGCGTGGAACTGTGGACGAATGGCAGGTTTGCCGAATGACGTTGTACACTACACTTTGAACCCTGAAGGGATGTCGTGCCGGACCCTTCTGACATGTGACTTGCTTCTAGCATAGGCGCCTGACTAAATTCGGCTGGGGCTAGGGTTTTGGGGCTCTTGCGTTTAGTGGTGGTTAGGAGTGTAGGGTTAGGGGTGGGGTTTTACCGTCTTGGAGCGGAGCGAAGGGTTTATCCACAGCTTGTCGGATTTGTTTTATGTGGATGCCGGTGTCACCGGTGTTGTTCTTAGTGTGGTTACAACAGTCATCTGCACTCCCACCACCTGTTGAGCCCGCATCTACAGATGGGGACGAAGTCTTTAAGTTTAAAAGTCCGCAAGAACTTGTGACCGAGTCCACAACCTCAGAGCACGCACACACACCAGACATCTGAAGCCCTGAATAACCTCAAGTTCGATCCTGTGCGTGCCACATCCACCGCCTCCTCAAAATAAAGCCGAAGCCTCGTCGCGTAACCATTCTCCTTACCCTACGAACTTACAGGTTTAGGGCTTAGGTCAGGTGGCAGCCTGCACTTCAAACCTCACACATCGCAGACCCTGGCCCTAAATTTTCCGAAATCCCCCATCGGCTCATCATGCAAGCAGCTATCATCGCCTGTAACGGAGATTAGGGACTTTTGAGCCTTTCAAACTCAAATCCTCGACCCCAGTCCATGTTTTGCCTGGACCCTATCTCGGCGATCGAATAGTATCCCCAGATATAGGTGCTGAGCTCTATCCCTGGACCCTGACGGTTTCAAGGTCTGTTATTCCAATCGATTCTTAGTTGCATATTCAAGCGTGCAGTTAGGTACAGTATACCCCAACAGCATATTCAAAATCTTGAGGTCATCGGAGTGTGGTACGCAATAATGAAGCCCAAACTTTTCAACCCTCAAACCTAAACCCTGAACCTCAACCTTAAACCAATGTTACCCTAAGGCTCCATGTACCCATCTAGTATATACTTAGGCCTTAAAGTACCCATATGGGGACCCCTTTAAGGCTTAAGTATCTACTATAACGGTACATGGAGCCTTAGGAACCCTAAACCCTAAACCCTATCCCTCCAAGGACCTCATAGTTACCCTTAAGGACCCCATAATAAGGTCCCTGGAGGCATAGGGTCAAACCTATATAAATCCTGAACCTCAGCCCTAAACCAATGTTACCCAGAGGCTCCATAGTAGTTCCTTTTTGGGATTACCTCATAGGATTCTAAGTATGAACCCCCAAAAACGAACTACCATGGAGGCTTAGGGTAGAGGCACTTTACGGGTATTTGTGGGTTCCACAAGGGCCGGCTCTGCGGTTTTAGGGCCTTTCCATAGGGGCTCCTCTAACTGAGGGGAAACCAAAACGGCTCTTGTAAGGGTGCTACGGTACATGGAGCCTTAGGGGTAAGGAGCTCAAGTCAAATTCTGAGGCGGAACCCCTTAAAGGAACCCTTAAAGGAACCCTTTAAAAAGAACCCTTTAAAAGGAACCCTATAAAGGTACATGGAGCCTTTGGGTTACCAGAGCTCAAATCAAATTCCGAGGCTTGCTCTGCGCTGTCCACTTCGCTCCTGCGCGGGGCTGCTGCCCTCAAAGAGGAGCCCTTCCTTCAACGGTCGAATTCCTAACGCTGTTTTGGGGGGGGTTCCTTATTATGACTATGTCATAATGGATTAAATTCTTAACACTGTTTTGGGGGGGTTCCTTATGATAACTATATTATAATGGATTAAATTCCTAACGTTGTTTTGGGGGTTCCTTATTATGATAACTATTATAATGAATTACAGACACAACTTTTTATGTCTGTCTTATTCTGATTATATGATAATGGATTAGAGGGTTGATGGCTTTGGGTTTGATTTAGTGTTCGGGTTAGGGCAGGGTCTCGGACTCAGGGTTTGGGGGTTGAGGGTTCAGGGCTGAGCGTCTTGGGTTTAGGATGTCTACTGCCACTTGACTATACTGGTTTCTCAAGGTTCAGCACACCTCCCAAAAAGAAAGAACACCCTGGCATACTTTGGCCCAGGACCCTGAACAGTGTTTCAACGTGTTCTCTTCCCGTGCATCGGTCTCTTCATTGGGGTTGCTATAGGATCCTATGCGGAGGCTCATTGATTTAGGAAATAAACGTAGCATTCGCGAGAGTTTTCCCAACATCTGGAGCGAAAGCTCAGGCAATAATGCACGGGATTGATGATTACAACGGGTATTGAGGTTATGTTATAGTACAAAGACACCAGGACAAGAAGAGGATGCTGCGGATATGTAGTTTTGTCGAATATGAATATGTCGTTCGTAGCTGGGTCAAGCCCGAAAAGCATATCCCGAAATCGTTCAGCCGAAACCCCGAAGCTCAGGCAGTTTGCCGGAAACTCGATACGGGGTCTGCAAAGCAGGGACGAAGGCTTCATGTTGGTGGTAATATTTCAGGTTTTCATGCTATGCAGGCCGTGAGGAGGTTTGTTTTCGTTTTTGAATTTTGATCTGAACTCTTGAATCGACGCAGTTTCCATAGCTTTGCTGTGGCAGGGGCAGCCGGATGGGAGAGAGACGCTGCTGCAGGCAGCATGGGGCTTTGAGTTTGGGCCACAGGGCTCGAATGTAATCAGTTCACAACACACTGACCGAAGGCGACAGCGCTAGAGGTGTCCAGGGCGATTTACTGTTTACGTTTGTTTTCGGGAGTGTGCGTAGTCAGGAAACCACATTATCGACAATCTGCCTCCTAAGTATCTATCTATATCTGTCCGTCTGCCCTTGTGTCTGTTTGTCCGTCTGTCGGACTGTCCGTCGGACTGTCCGTCGGTCTGTGCGTCGGTCTGTGCGTCGGTCTGTCCGTCGGTCTGTCTGTCGGTCTGTCTGTCGGTCTGTGCGTTTGTCCGTCAGTCGGCCTGTCCGTCGGTCTGTCTGTGTGTCGGTCTGTGCATCTGTCCGTCTGTCGGTCTGTCCGTCGTCTGTTTGTGTGTCTGTCTGTGATGTGTCTCTCCGTCTGCGTGACTGCCTGTCTGTTTGCCTGACTGTTTGCTTGTTTGTTGCCTGTCTGTTTATCTGTCGATCTATCGTTCGATGTATCTATCTACCTGTCTATCTGTCTATTTGTCTGTCTATCTGACTATCTGTCTGTCTATCTATGTACTATTCTCTTTGTCCAGATTCTCTAGATAGGTTTTGTGAGCTCAAGCTCTAAACTCTTGGCCCTGTACCCTCAAACCCACAAAACCATAGAACTCCCAGCAGCCCAAACCCCGAAAGCCTGAACCTAGAAGCCAGAATGGCTAGTAATGATATTCCCTCCGGTTCGCTATGATCCCCCGCTTATTCTGCACCCTAAATTACTTTCTGAGGGTTTCCAGCGCTTTCGGACCTCACACGCTCTTTGCTTCACTTTACCCAGTTGATTGCGGTTTAGGGATTTGTTGCTGGCCTTCTGGGGCCGGGTGGGGAGGGTGCTTCGGTTCGAAGCTTGCTGGCTTCTAGGTAATATTGTGCTTTAACTTAAGAATTGTGATTAATAACCACCAATATAGTTTTTGGGGTTCCTTGCTATATGATTATAGTATGTTGGCACCAAAACCCTATTCTATTTTCGATGGCCCCTATATGAAGCATGTTGAGCGCAGGGGTTGGAATTGACGGGTTCGATGGTATAGAGCTTGGCTATTTGGGTCTTTGGATTTCGGGTGTAGTTTTGTATCTGCGGTTTAGCCTGCAGCAACCCAACTGGTGCGCCGGCGTGACATGCTAAAGCCTATTTAAGCTAGAACATCACAAAGCCGAAACATAGCAGACTCCAAACCGTAAACCTTCATCAGCAAGACTCGTCTTGCTATTTAGGATACAGGGCTTAAGGTTTAGGGTTTAGTGCTTTCTATCATATAATAGGCCTCTCCTTCTTCAAGCAGTATCCTTTAAGTCAGTTTACGAGTCTTGGAACTGTAGGCCAAGCGCAAAGCCCTGGCCCTGTTCAAGCCTTACACTGGACCCTTAGATGAGCACGGCTGGGCACCTAAACCCTAAGCCCTAATTCCTGAACCTTAAATTCTAAACCCTAAACTATACCTTAAATCTTAAACCCCAAACCCTAATTCCCGAACCTTAAATCCTAAACCCTAAACCCTAATTCCCGAACCTTAAATCCTAAACCCTAAACCTTAAGCCGGAACTCTGGTAGAAAGGCTGCTCAGAACGACTCCTCCGGCTTGGCACCTAAAGGGTTCAGGGTGCCGGGTGTAAGCTTCTAAGGGATCTATAAGGGTACTATAATACCTTAATAGTTTATAAGGGTTACTATAAGGGATCTATAAAGGTACTATAATACCTTAATAGTTTATAAGGGCTTCTAGGGCATTTTTCGGGTTTCGAGTGTATTTAGGCTTCAGGGGGGGTTATGGTGTACGGTCTATATGTATTTAGGGGCTTACCGAGGTGCTAGAAGTTAGACTTTGGGCTTAAAGCCAGAGTTCTATTGTCGTAAGGGTTGCAAGCTTCGGGCTTCGAGGATGTAGTTTGGCAAAGGTTTAGGGTTTAGGGTTTAGGGTTTAGGGTTTAGGGTTTAGGGTTTAGGGTTTGATTGCACAGGTGTTGCGATGGGTTGTGCAGTTTGTGAAAGAGGGTTTTGGGCTTCACTTTGCTTTCGTCTGGTTCAGGGAGTCAGGGAGTAGCTTTAGGGTTCAGGCTGTATAACCTAGACCCCCAACTACCCTTTCTTGTCGCCCCTAGTTACCTCTTAATGAGAAATACCAGAGCCCTTTTTAAAGGGTGCTTGGGGAGTCCTGGAAGGCCCTTGGAGTTTAGGGTTTAGGGTTTAAGACGCTTGCTTAAGGGCCGACTGATTCAGGGATGTAGCGGTTAGAATCCGGATCGAAGTTGCTGGTTTACCCTATAAGGCCCCATAGTAGTTCCTTTTTGGGATTGCCTTATAGGATTGTAAATATGAACCACAAAAAGGAACTACTATGGGGCCTTGGGGTAGGCACATTTAATCTTGGGGGGTTTGGGGACTTGCGGTGTTTGGGCTCCAGAGGCTGATCGGTTCAGGTGGAAGAGTTTCGAGTTCACCTTTTTCTGAGCATCTGGATGGGTTTAGGTTCCGGAGTCTGATGTGTCTGCTTCTTCTTCTTATATGGGTGGTTGTTAAAATTAGGGTCCCTTTTTGGGTTCCCTAAATATGAGGTGCCGTACTATAATAGGGACCCAGAAAGGGACCCTAATTTTGACAACCACCCATATGTGGTCTAGGTCTACTTTCGAAGGGCGTGTGGCTTAAGGCTGAGGGTTCAGAATCGCAGAGCGATAGAAACTCGAAAAACCAGAGCCCTCACTTGCGACCCCATTCACCTTCAACTCAAGTCCTACCTTAAAGCACCCAAACCTACGTTTTTTGTAGGTCCTTATTATAGAGCCAACAAAGGTTTTATAGTGACCTTCAAAAACATAGGTTTTGGCACGTTAAGGTAGATAGGCAATCTAAACCTAAGCTTGTCAAGGTAGCGTTCCTACCAGGGGCTAGCGCTTAATCGAAAAATCCCTGGGGCCGCCTTGCGGAAGCATAGCTGCGGTTCCGGGTGTCGATCTTTAAAGCAGTAGTCCCACAATCATCAATGCGAATACGGCGGCTGTCCTCATCACCAACGTTGCCTTCATTAACTAACTTCTTTGACACCAGTGTCATCTCCGAGAGCATTGTTGTCATCGCCATCGTCATCACTGCACTTATCTCGACCATCGTCAGTGGCCGCAGGGACATGTTCAGTTTCCGTCAAATCTGTCATCAGGACCACCCTTCGCCTCTTCCTCATTTCGTAGTAGTGGTTTACCGAGCACCACACTGGATGTTTGGGGTTGCGGAAATTCAGCCCTGAACCACAAACCTTACAGAACCAGTGTCATCAGCCCTGAACCCTACGCCTGAACTGAAGCCATACCAACCGGAAGCCTGCTAAGTGGTATAGACCCAGAACCCTCAGCTCGCATGACTAAGTTGAAAGCCGGAAGGCTTCAAGTCCTAGCAAGACTGTAGATTAGCGTTCCTCGTCATGCTTATACAATGTTGTTCCCCAAACGCTTCTTGAGATTATGAAGGAGCCTCGTCTATTGTACCGGATAACATTGCAACCCCTCTGAAGCCTAATTGCAGAAACATTACAGAACACCTTAACACAAGCACAAAATCTTCATAGAAGGCCAAGAAGACCCTACAACATAGTCATGGCTAGGCTTTGTGGCGAAGTTGCTGGCCGCACTTCCCGCAACGAACCGAGAGTGACGGAGGTTTTACCATCTCGAGATCTCGAGGGTTGTTGTTGGGGGGATAATTTGGGGTTTGGGGGTTCGGGGGTATAGGAGTCAAGCAATTTAAGGATTTTAAAACAACTCCGAGTATTTGGTAAGTTGAGCTGAAGAGAGAGGTGATGCAAAAAGGCAGCACAAACTTTCTTATGCATGCTCGAAGTCACTTAGCTGTCGACAAACGGCTGGACTGAAGCCAAACTTGCCTCGCGCCAAGCAGTTTAGGGTATCTGCGGGCCAAAAACCCTTACCACTATGGCCCTCTTTGATAACAGTCTATCAGCCTGTATGCAGTGCCAAGATCCGAAACAACATCACTTTTGCTCAAAAAAACCGTCTGGCGATCCTGCAGAGAATTAAGGGTCGAGAATTCTTCTCTTTGTTCACAACAAAGCATTCTGCACCGTGCAATCTTTACAAAACTCATTACATCCTTTTTTGCACAGAGAGGGTCGTTGCTAGGAGGCGCCCGCTGCCACTAACGACCTCACGGTCAACGGAATCAGGCGGGGCATGAAGCGCAGGAGCGCCTCAAGGGATTGCAAGCGCTAAGCTTGCTTGGCTGAAGATCTCTTGTGTTGCCGAATATGACTAAGGTTGAAGGTTGCGAGTTCAGGATTATGGCACAGGATGAAACCATTCCCTTCGGAATCTGCAGGTTGTTTATGGAATCTTTGAGTTGTTGGCCTCCTTGCAGGTGCAAGGTTTATGTCAATGTGATTGATTTTGGGGTGCCTTTTGGGCCGGCTGCACACTGCTTCGGTTCTTCTTTGGTTCAGCACGCTTTGAAGGGCTTTTGTAACCCTAAACCCTAAAGCCCTAAACCCTATTGAGGCCATCGGGTTTTAGCAGTGAGGATAGCTGGGTAGTTGGAGGCTCAAGTCTTGGAGGGTTTCTTGGGCTCTAAGGGTTTAGGGTCTAGGGTTCATTTTACCATCTGAGCGGTTCCTCTATAGTTTGAAGATCTTGTTTGAAGTATATACTCCTTGTCAAAGCTTCTTTCTTGGAGTTTCGCGGGTTTGAAAGTGGCCTTTTGGTTTTGACAAATTCAGTATGCTCTTGACGGGTTCACATTCCTGCGTGTGCGACCTACAAGGCCAACCAAAGGGTCCAAAGTAACGATATGGTAGAATGTAGGGTTTCTATATTAGGAATTACTATTATGATTTGGGGAAGTATTCCCCATAACAGTACATAAGACCCTTTGGGTAAGGCTAGGTTGGTAACCGACAGAGTTTAGGGATCAGTCTCTGGGGAGCAACTTGGGGGTTTGGGGATTCGTGACTAGGGTTCACTTCAACGCCAAAGAGCTCCTTTTTCCAAGAACTTATAGGAAATCATAATAAGCTAAACAAGATCTAAACAGGTAGGTTTCAAAGGGGCCTAGGGAGGCCCTAATCTTAAACCCTCAACCGTAAACCCTAAACTAGATACCCCAACACCTGAAACAAAAGAACCCTAAGCTTCGGGCTCCTAGGGGTTCAGGGGAACTTGTCTTCTGGACCTGAAGAAGGCGTAGGTGGGCCATTACCCAGAGGCTCCGGAGTGGTTCCTTTTTGGGGCTACCTCATAGGATTCTATAAGTATGAGCCCGCATTTCACGAACTATTATGGAGCCGTAGGGTATAATATAGAATCCGGACAAGCGTCAGTACGGTTGATGATATAAATCCTGCATTACCTTAAGGACCCTAAACTACGGGATTTATGGTATATTCCCTATTAATGCAGGATTTATATCATCAACCGTAGTCCCCTCTGTCTTCAAGCTCCTGGAACGCCTGAATTCTCCATGACAGCAGACTCTAGTTCTTTCACCCGAAGGAGCCGGGTCTTTAGAGTTTTGTAGGTTTATAGCAAACAGAACCAAGGACTCCGAATCATGGTATCTTGCTATGGGGCTTTCAAACGGCGTTTCGTCTGTGTTCGCCAGGGCTTTACCAGGGTCTAACAGGGCTTGTTTGGGTGTGTGTGCTACATGTAAGCCCTAAATGAGGTACCATAGCGAAGGCCACTTGCAGATTCGCTGTTTGACGATCACTCAAAAGCCTCAGCTGATGCCTCTCTGGCTGAAATTGAGTCAAATCCTCCACTACAGTAGGTTCTCGATTCCTGAGCCTGCCAACAATCAACGCCTTGACCCAAACGAATCTTTTTCGCCGCTGCCTCAGCCCCCCGGACTTGTTTCATGTTGAAGCCTGCGGTGTGGCACAACATGGGCGTTGAAATCCACAGCTTTTATAGATATACCCTCTTCCCTATACTTCAACACCTGTCAAAGCCTACCAACAGCGTCGGCAGACAGCCAACCACCCGTAAGCCGGACTCTTAAAGCCACAACAAGCCATAATGAAAGGGTGTAGGATTTAGGGGGTTGGGGTTTAGAGAGCCAAACCCCAAAGACACGACCTTGACAACAAAATCCAGGCTTCAGTCGCTTTGGGGCTGAACTCCCCTGCACCCACACCCGGGGCAGCTAGGCTCTAAGACCCCCCCAGTGCCTGACACTTATCCGTCCGAAAACCTACTATTTGCTTAAGAAACACCCAAAAATAAAAATAATAATCCCTATATTACCCCCATTAGGAATATATTCTATATTTTTGGGGGGTTCTTAAGCAAATAGTAGAAACCCTAAACCCTGACACCCTGAATTTCAGTGCCCTGAAACTCGGAACTGCCTATAATTCCTAGACTTCTTAAGCCCTAAAGCCTTGCCCATGGGCGCCCGCTGCTCCTGTGATCCTTGTGAGGCGCCTTGGGAGGGAGGGACAAGTGGGAGGGAGGCGGTACCCAAAGGCTCCATGTACCCATGTAGTAGGTACTTAGGCTTCGAAGTGACCATATAAGGACCCCTTTAAGGCCTAAGTACCTACTATATGGGTACATGGAGTCTTCGGGGTAGTGGTGGTAGCCGTAGTAGTAACAGCCGCAGCAGTAGTGGTGGTGGTAGTGGTTATCATAGTATAGTAGTATGCTTGCATAAAAGTCCTAGGCCGTGAGATTGTGGTTGAAGGTTCAGGCTTTAGCCATATGGGCTTCAGGTGTTGGACTTTGCCGCCCTGCCAGTGTGTGTGTGTGTGTATATGCGTGGACGCTCGCGCGTGTTTGTGTAGGGCTCAGAGATAGCCAACCCCTGTCATCTACACACACATGTATATATATATATATATATATATATATATACGTATACTTTGCATATACATATGGCGGCCAAATGAACTCCTTAATGAAATTTATTTTATTTCGAACATCCCCACCCTAGCGCCTTGTCCTTCCTACACGCAAATCCGAAGACCTAAAGAACCCGAGCCTAAACCTTAAACCCTGGTGTTCCCGAGCACTCCAGGGATTCTCACGGTAGTCCGTGGGGTTGGGCACTCCAGGGATTCTCACGGTAGTCTGTGGGGTTGGGCACTCCAGGGATTCTCACGATGTTCTCACGGTGGTCTGTGGGGTTGGGTACTCCAGGAGGTAATCTCAGTGGGCGAGGAGCAATAGCTGACTTTAAAATCTAACAACCCCACACCGAGGGTGGGGAACAAACATACAGCTTGCAACTGTGTCTGCATTATCCTTGCCTCTTGGGTCTGCATGCCTGAAGAAGCAGAATTCTATAATGGTAGTATATACAGACCCTCCGGGATGATAACAATTACGTAAGGAGTCTTTGCATGGTTGGAGAATTAGACCAACAGCCTCGACAGCGGGCTTTCAAGAGTGCTTTCAGGTGGGAGTTAACTTGAGCGACCCTTGAGAGTTTCCTGATTCCTCCACGGGTCCCTCTTAAAGGCCGCAGTCGCGTGCCCGCCTTCCCTAATTAACGGACTGCTTCGCCAGGTCAAGTTCCTACCCGATGCAAGTTAATCTTGAATCATCCACAATGCCCAGGCGCATATCCAAGCGCTCATTTCTCTCACCCTGAACCGATACGCTGAGCCCAAACCGAAGCACTTGCCGCCCGAGCAGGTCTAAAGCCTGGAGATGTTAAACTCACACTCGGTAAAGCTGTATCAAGAGAAGCCCCGTCAAGCTAAACCCTATTCCGCCGCAGGACCGCGATGCCGGGCTCAGTTCTGCCACGGCTGCTTTCCTCGCCTCCCCGAAGCACATGTAGTCGGGTCCCACTTATTCAATTGCCCCAGACCTTCAGGGTTCAGGGTTTAGGGATTCAGAGGTTTAGGGTATAGGGTTATGTTGGGTTTAGGGGTCTAGGGGTTTAGGGCTGCACCCTGAACCCCTTGAGCCCCGACCCCCTGACCCCAGGCTTGAACACGAGACCTGCGGCCCAGAGCCTGTAGGTGTAGACCCTCAGCTACTCAGAGCCTTCTGAGATTTGAAAGCCGTGTTGGGGGCGACTGTATATAAGGCCCCCCCTCCCCGGATGCCTGCAGCTGCCGCTGTGATGGGTGTACTCGGTTTTGAGCTTTGACTTCTTCGGCTGGTGTGATTTTATCTTGCTTGCTCTCAAAGTCTAAACTTTTACTTGCTTGGGTAGTTTCGGAACATGTTACCGTCTTTGGAGGAAACATGAGGGGACGTTGTAGCCTGACCTAGTAGCATGGTGGCAGGTGTGGACCCCTTTAGCTATGAGAGTTTAACTTTATGGCTTGGGGTTGTAACGTTCATGGCCAAAAACCACTACCACTGCACGCATAAGTGGGTGCGTCAAACACTGTAGGCCCCAACGCGCACGCACTAATCTCCTAAACTCCGAACCCTTACCCACAGACCAGGAATCTCAAAGACTCCAGTATCCCTTAATTTAGAAATATACCTTGGGTTATGGTAGGATCCCGAATATGATTTAGGGAGTATACCCTAATTAAGGGGTATTGGAGTCTCTGGGTCCGTAAATCCTACAAACCCAAGACATCTAAGCTGCGTACGGCAATCCAAGAAAGCCTCAGCACCCGGCCAGAAGAGAAGTATGAGAACCTTCAAGCGATGGGCACTCTTTACTGGTAAACCGACAGTTCTTCAGATAGCCTTTCAGCCCTAAACCCTTTAAGCCCTAAACTCCTAAACTGGCAGCTTTTCTTTGGTGCCATGTTGCAGGGATACCTCAGTGCCAGCAAGACTCTCTCATGCACGCATCAGCTCAAGTTGTTCGCGTTGGGCGGGCTCCAGCGGAGACCCTCGCGATCTGCACGGACTCGACCTGAGTTCCACGCACATCTCCGACCAGCGGAATGTGAAACGCTGAAGCGGGCCAATCTTCATCTCAGACTTTTTTGCGCTCAGACGCTGTCAGCTCTGCAGCGGCGCCTCGACGAGGCAACGTTCCCTCGGAACGTCGGAGGTCGAATGGTCTAAAGATGTGAGCCGCAGGCCCTCTTCGAGAATGCCAGGCAGGGGCCGGGGCAACAAATCTGGAGAGACGGGCAGTGCTGCGGGGTACCAGGAGTGAGTTGGATGTGCAAATATGCGCTTTGCTATTGTATGCCAATGTATACCACCTATGCCCTATGTTATGCGAGCTGATAGTGAGTAGCATGTGAATACCACTTATTCATGAGAGGGAGGGAGACAGGGCCAGAGAGAGCGAGGGAGTGGACAGGGAGCAATCGGGCGTGCTTGTACAAAGTGCGGGCCGCCTGGCATTCCTCGCATCATCCTGCACCTGTAAAGAAGAAAAGCTAGCATGCAGCCGATAACGGCGAAAAGGAGAAGGATGGAAAACCCGGCTAACCCAGCTGATGTGTGGGTTCTAGTGCAGGATGACACCGAACCTAGTCCTCCAGACAGTGAGGCTAGGGAGCGGGTAATCGCCTCCTCGAGATTACTCGGAGGAGTCGCTTCGAGGGCAGGGGGACAGACCGCTTTCCGTAACAGGACCATCTCCACCATGGCCTCTGCGTTGGCGAAGACAACAGTACGAAGTTACTCCCCGTGGTATGCTACGGCTGCTAGCCCTTGCAGTGCCCCTGGTCTTGGATCAGGTCTTGGAGACATCATGTGGGCAATGGTACATGTAATCTTGAGTTTGCATGTGTTTTGGATGGACTACCAGCGGCAGGCCTGCTACTATATGCTCCTATCGTGTACTGATCTTCATGGTTCCTGCTGTATGGTAGAAAGTCCCCGGCCGTTGACAACAAGAGTGAAATGTGTGCGTGTTGAGTTTACTCCACCCATGTGATCTGGGACTGGAAGGGGTGGAGTGCAACCGTCCTAGTTGTGGTTGATGATATAAATCCTGCATGACCCATAATAAGGAATATACCATAATTCCCATAGTTTAGGGTCCTTAAGGTAACGCAGGATTGATAACATCAACTATATTATGGTTTCGGGTACCGAATTCCATATTGGTAGAATATATGGACACTCTGGGAAAAGGCAGAAGCCCCCATCCGAGGATGCACAGCCCGCTATTCGGCCGAGGGAGCAGTTTGAGGCCCGAGCAACGTGCTTCTTCTTTCAAAAAGGGCTTAGGGTTTGCCTTAACCCTGAATAACCTACCTTTTTGGCTTTCCTTATTATGCCTTCCTTATATAAGTCCTTAGGTAGGATATTCGGGGTATTAGAGGTTTAGAGATCTAGAGTTTATGAGGGTTTAGGGTTTAGGGCTTGGAGTTCAGGGCTTCGGGTTAATGTGGGTGTGGTCTTTCTAGGGCCTGCAAGGCTTGATAGGGAGCAGATGGGGTGTATGGGGTTTTGCCGGGTTCAGGATGGTTTCAGGTGTAAGATTTCAGGTTAAGTATACATATATTATAGTTCATACTACTTAATTAGGTTTCAGGTGTAGGGTTTAGGGTTGGGGGTGCATGTGTTATGGTTCGTGCAGCTTGATAGTTTGTTTGTCGGATTGTTCTTGCATTCTTTGTCTTGTTTTTTCCAAACGAGGCTCAAAAGGGTGCCAGCAGGATTCGTTATTTGGGTTTGGGTGCCGTATGGAAGAATACGGAGCCGCAACAGGGGCAGAGGGGGTTGTGCAACTGCTGCAGCTAGCAGCTGGCTAATGCTACGGCTACTACAACGATTACTCTATCGACGATAGCGACCAGAGAAGACCACGAAGAGGACGAAAGGACAACGGAGCTGCTGCTACTGTTGCGGCTGCGGTACTAGTAATCGTACTAGTATTAGCTCGAGTACGAGTACTGCTGCTGGAATTAGTGCTAGCACTAGTACCAGTCTCAGTACAGGGGTTTCTGAAAAAGCCTGTACAATGGTTTTCAGAAGAGTTTATAGGAGGGTTTCTGCAAGGGTTTCTGGGAGGGTTAATGGGAGCCTTCATAGAAAGGCTTATGGAAGAGGCTATGGATGAGAGGGCTGCGCGGATGCATGGATGGATGAATAGATGGATAAACGTATGGCTGGACAGATAGATGGATGGATGGATTAATAGCTGGATGGCTGGGTCAGGGGGTGGGGGAAGGTCGAATAATAACTGGTTGAGATACTGTTCGGTGTTAATTAGGTGCCTTGCTGCTTCGGGCACCCGTTCTTTAGCTGTAGGTCTTTCAATACATGCCGGACAAATTAACTGGAGTCCAGTCGTGACGAGGTTGGTCTTTGCTTCAGCGGCGGTGGCCTTGCGTCGGCTGCAGCTGCAGTAGGACCAGAGTGGTTGAGGTTTTGGCGTTTGCGGTTTGGGATCAGGGTCATTGCTTTGGTGTGTAGGGTGATGGAGGGTTTAGAGCGTCGTTAGGGACCAGGGTTACGGATGTTTACGGTTTAGTTTGAGGGATAGGATAGGTTTTGCTTAGATGGACATATTTGCTGTTTGCTGGTGTGCGCAAGTGACGGAAGAGCGCAAGGAAGATTTTCCAGAGAGTCCAGCCATTGAGATCGACATGCCGCAGCGGTTCACCCGTTCGCACTTGAGGAGGCGAGGGGAGGAGAAGAAGCAGAGATAGCATGCCCCTTTACGGTGAGGAACACGTCCAGCATGCAGGCATCTGTCATGATGATCGCGCCGCCATGCAATCCGCCAAGGATGTTGGCCGCAACCCTCCACATTCACGTTGTCTCCAAGAACCCATGTGGATCGCATTGGAGTGGCAACACCATCCCTTTCCGAAACCAGCTCGAGGACGTCAGCATTTGCGGCAAAGCCGTGAGGACAAGTGCTGCAGATCAGATAAGTAGGGCGAGTATTTCCGCAAGAAGAGAATATTTGCATCCAAGAGTTTGCTGGGGCGCACTAAACCCTAAACCCTAAACCCTAAATTTAGGGTTTAGGGTTTAGGGTGTTTCTGTTAGGGTGCAAGACTCCGGGCCCGGCAAAGTCCGTATGGTCGTGAGCCTAACAAATGCGGTCGTCGCTGGATTTTGTGCCGCCATAGGGGGGATTTAGCCTAGACAGGAAGCCCCCAGTATCCTACTTAGCATACCTGCAGAGACCCTTAATTCACTCAGTGCAGGGTTCGGGCGTATTATGGGATTAGACTTGAAGCGGATACTTATTCAGACCTGAAGGTTAGATTAGATCCTGTAGGCACCTGTGGCCAATCTCAGTAGCTTGTGCAAAACCACAAGCTCTCCAAGCAACGCGTGCCAAAACCCAACAGCATGGGGGACCTGGTTGCTGCAGGGAGAAGTTTCCTGAGTGTCTATAGCCCGAGAATAGATCCCTTAAAGGAGCCCTAGGGATCTCTCTAAGTCTCTTTGGGTTTGCTTTAAGGGTTGGGATAAGGGCTCCTTTAAAGGCTGCAGGGTTAAGTTCTAACTTGTCGCCACCCCACTAGGGTTGGGGTCCCCAAGCCCTCAATCGCAAAACTGTCGATACAGCAGGTTCAAGACCATGACCGTAGTCCCATGTCCTACTTGGAGGGGAAGGGGACTTAGTAAGTCATTTGTAAGTAGGGTTATAACTGGGGAGACTCTATTTGGGGTACTTATAACTCTACTTCTAACCTACTTACTACGTCCCCTGCCCCCCCAAGTAAACCCCAGCTCCTTGAACCATTGATTCCTCAACTTTAAAACTGGGTTCTTTTTTAAGGACCTTCATTTAAGTTAGGGACCTATAGGTACTTAAGCTAAATCCCTTAACAAGAACCCAGAATAGAGTGTGAACCGCAACCCCCTGAACTTTCGCCCGCTTGAAGGCTGCGAAGCCTCAGCCGTCCAAAGCTTAACTTTTCAACGCTCCTTTTCGGATAAGCTGCTATGAAACCTAAATCCTATAGAAGCTAATAATAAATCCTGAACTCCTAAATCCGAAACTCCCATACTCCTCAATCCTGAACCCCTACACCCCCTAAAGCCTGAACCCTAAAACCCTAGACCCCGAAGCCCTTTGTTACAGGAGCCCTCCGCGCCTTGGAGGCCGCAGATCTGATGGAGCAGGCGAGGGCTCAGGGCTGTTAGGATTTAGGGTTTAGGGTTTTAGAGTTTTAGTTTGGGTTTAGGGTGTGGGGGCCTTTCAGGCTTTTACGATTTGGGGTTCCGGGTTTCAGGTTTAAGGGCCTTTAGGATTTAGGTTTTAGGGTTTGGGGGTTTTATTGGCTTAGGCTTTTAGGGTTTGGGGGGGTTATAGGTCTTTAGGGTCTAGGGTGGTAGGGCTTTGAGGTTTAGGGTTTAGGGCCTGGAACTTTCTCTCAATTCGACTCCTCCTTAGGGCTCCTGCTTACAGTTCCTTTCTACCTACTATTAGTATACCCCCAAAACTATGTATGTGTATATATATATATATATATATATACATTTGTTTTTGTATTTCTTGTTTTTGGAGGCTAGGGATCTAAGGACTCATATATGAAGGCTTTCGGATCCAAAGACCATACTATATAAGGCTTTTGGGCGATTTTGATCCCTAGGGTAAATCGCAGCGGGGGGTAAGGGGCAAAGATCTAGGGTGGCAGCTGGAAGGTTCGGGATTCAGGATGCAGGGGCCCTTTGGGGATCGGGATTCCGTGATGTTCGAGGGACTGGGACCAGCAACGAGCATTGATCATTGATGTAGAACACGGGTCTGAATACTAGTAGTGGCCCTTATTGTCTTTTGTTGCACTTGTTAGATACCATAACCCCAAAGCGTGTAAGTATCATCTTGGTATATACTTAGACCCCCAAAATACCCTATAAGTATATAGCCAGAATGATACTTGGACCCTTTGGGAACACAAAACCCGCTTCTTGCATCTTAAGGATTTAGAAGGGTTCCGAGGTCTCTGGGCTAGGTTTGGAGGTGAACGGTTCGAAGCGCAACAAGTCAGCGAGAAAACGGTCCGAGTCATCAGTAAGACTATCCTCAGGGTCTAGGGTTTAGGGGTTCAGGATTCAGGGTTTAGGGTCTAGGGTTTTGGGTTGTCGCGGTGATCTTGCAGCGCGTGCCCGAACCTTCGAAGACTTTCGGTATTGTCACTTACACTTCGGTTGATGATATAAATCCTGCATTTCCCATAATAAGGAATATACCATAGTTCCCATAGTTTAGGGTCCTTAAGGTAATGCAGGATTTATATCATCAACCGTTTCAGCTCAATGTACTGAGGATCTCTGAACCCGATAATGGAGTTTAAGAGCCCTCGAACTCAGAGTCCCCACAGCGCGAAACCCGATACACCCTAAACCCCTAAAACCTCTGCCTTTTGAAACGGCATTCCCCCAAGTACGTGGATGGAATGTAGAACTTCCGGAAGACTCAGAACCTCCAAAACCCCCTAATCAAGGAATATACCGTATAAATTATGATAGGAATCCTGATATGGTTTAAGGTTTGTCCCTCAACGAAAGGGTTTTGCAAAGTTTGTGGGGAGAGCGCCTGTGATGTGTTTAACTCACTGATACATGGAGTGCGCTCTATATTATTGCCAGCCCTCGCCGCTGGACGATCTGCCATCAGGCTTTTCGAAGCTGGAGGGAAGACGGGAGGGCGCCTTGTTTGGAACCTGTCAAAGGTGACCAATATTATTTTCCGATCAGTTCTGGACATAACTAAGTTGCAAGGTGTGGTCATCCATCCGCGATAAACACTTCCTCACGGGTTTCTCCTGGCAACATGGAGGGGTGCGCCCTTCGGAGCTGAAGTACTGATCGGAGCCTTGAGTTTCTTCCTGATTCGCAGAACCACCAAAATCACGCCTCCCAAGCCGCTACTCCCAAACCCTGTTTTTAGAAGTGCCTGAATACATGTATGCACCGGCTATACACATATTTTGTGTTCCTTGTCATCATCATACTACAATATATACCCCCCCCCCTACCCTACTTACTGCTTTTTGGCAGTCCCTACATTAACCCTAAAGGTTGGGTATACTCATAATATAGATATGTAAGGCCCTTAATACTAGCCCTACTATAGGCTGTTACTTATTTTATGAGGGGCAGTACCCAACCTAAAGCCCTAAAGCCCTAAAGCCCTCAGCTACTAGAAACGTGCCCGTTCCAGTTCGATGCCCTGAGCGTGGTGTCGGGTAGCGCATGGGCGACTGCGGCATACATGCACCTCGGCTAACTACGTATCATAGGTTAGGAGATGCTAGGTTCATAGGTTAGGAGTTTAGGGTTTAGGGTTTAGCCAAGCTTGGACTACGTATCATAGGTTAGGAGTTTAGGGTTTAGGGTTTAGCCAAGCTTGGACTACGTATCATAGGTTAGGAGTTTAGGGTTTAGGGTTTAGCCAAGCTTGGACTACGTATCATAGGTTAGGAGTTTAGGGTTTAGGGTTTAGCCAAGCTTGGACTACGTATCATAGGTTAGGAGTTTAGGGTTTAGGGTTTAGCCAAGCTTGGACTACGTATCATAGGTTAGGAGTTTAGGGTTAGGGTTTAGCCAAGCTTGGACTACGTATCATAGGTTAGGAGTGTAGACTTTAGGTTTTAGGGTTTCGGTCCTGGTCTTTGGGGTCGGTTGACGCCTCGGCCAGCCGACGTTGGACTGCCACAGAATTGCCCTATGCCTCCAGGGACCTTATTATGGAGTCCTTAAGCGGTCTAGGGCCCTAACTATGAGGTCCTTGGAGGGATAGGGTTGGGGTTTGGACTTTGAGTTGTAGGGTTTCAGTGGGTTGCGGTGATAAGGGTCGAGGGCTCAGGGCAACCTTGGACTAACATGGGGTTTACCCTAAGGCCCCATAGTAGTTCCTTTTTGGGATTACCTTATAGGCTTCTAAACATGAACCACAAAAAGGAGCTACTATGGGGCGTTGGGGTAAGCTGTCGTTAGTTCTGTTGTTTGTGATTTTAAGTACAATCCAACCCTTTCTTCAACCTTACAAGGGCATTGAGAATACTATGCGTGCCAAGGGTTGGACGGTGTAACCCTATAGAACGGAATATGAACAATGACAATGCTGTGTGTACTCTTGGTCCAACTGGAGCTTTATCGTTGTAGAGCTCATGTACCTTCCAGCTAGAGTACTGAATATCCTTCGGTTTGTTTTCATTATATAGCAAGGGCTGAGTGACTGGCGTATGTACAACAGGACCTAAGCCGCAACCCTGAACTCTACCTGAAGTTGGACCTAATAAGTCATACTGGCATGACCTACCCCTCTTTTGTTTTTGGTACTCAGTTTCGTGCTGATGGACCGTAATATAGAGAAGTGAGTATTGTTAAAACAGAGGTAAGGTATGACCCAGAAGGTATGCCTCTACCTCCCCCCCAATTCCCTAGATCCCTAGCCCTAACCCCTAAACCACTAAACCCTTAACCCCTAAACGCCCTAAGCCCTGCACCTCTCCAGGTTCGACAAGGAGCCGGCATCTTCCCTGCTGGGGCAGATTGCACCGCTCAGTGAGCTGACTTTGGAGGCCATGTGGCCCATGATTGTTTCCGCATACAGATACAGATATGCATGCATGCATGCATGCATGCATTCATGCATGGATGTGCGTATGCGTGCAAGTATACATTTAGTAAATAAGTATGTATGCGTGTATGTATGCATAGGTTATATGTGTATATCTATATATATATACACATATCAAATACATATCTAGCTATATTTCTTATGGACCTATGTATGGACATACAGAACGCTTAGGCTTGAAGGCTTCCATGCACGCACACACACACACAGAGACACACATGCAGGCACTTTCTTCTCTGAGCGAGATTGCGCAAGTGTGTGCTTGCACACTGCCTGCTTGCATGTTCGTTTCATGCTGCGAACACGAGAAATTGCCATAAATTCAACTTCCTCAACTAAAGGACGCTTTGATCTCAACACAAGTACCTCTCAAGGCTTTCTTTTCTACCCCAAACCCCGCAACCCCTTGTCTTCTCAAGGCGGAGTTTACAAAGCAAGAGCACGGTCAGAGCATAAGAGCACTTGAAGAACGATTTTGGCAATACTACGCAACAGGTATGCAGCATAAGACAGAAGAAAGCAGCAAACAACCCTGAGCCCCTAAAGGCCGCCTAAACCCTAAAACCCTAAGCCCCAAACCTTAAACCCCAAACCCTAAGCCCCAAACCCTAAACCCTAAATCCCAAACCCCAAACCCTAAACCCTAAATCCCAAACCCCAAACCCTAAACCCTAAATCCCAAACCCCAAACCCTAAGCCCTCTTCGCAAGGCATTGGATGCACTTCCACCACCGGCTCTTCAGGGCTCTACGCGCGAGGCCAGGCACCGAAGGAAGCACCAACAGTGGCATTTTTGGGAAGAATTGGCACCAGGTTTACCGATTTTGCTGATTTCGCCAAAAGCCTCTATTTCTTGCTCTTCTTTCTGACAAGCCGGGAATCCCGTGAGTATAGTTGCTCTACGAATGCTAGACTCGACTTCAGGGGTCTACCCAAAGGCCCCAAAGTAGTTCCTTTTACGGGTTCATATATAGAATCTTATGGGGTTATCCCTGAAAGGAATTACTCTGGGGCCTCTGGGTAATTCGCTGTACCGATTTTAGACAAGGTTCTATCAGAGTTTTACAAGGTTCTCTGAGGGTTTTTATGAATACTTAGCATTGTCTTAGCAGCAGAGTAGGTGAAACATTTGCCTTTTTGGGGTACGGTCATCTCCATACAAACCCCTATATACTCCCAAAGCTTAACCTGTAGTTCCCTAAAATACTGGCTGGACAAGTGGGGGGTTTCCGGAAACTCCCAAACCCTAAACCCTAAACCCTATAGATCCCTTATAGGGACCCTTAAAAGGAACCCTTATAGATCCCCTCATTTTCGGAAACTCCCAAGTAGGATTTCGAAGCTGAGAGCAGCCTTCTAGAGGCTTTTCAGGTTCCAGCCCAAAGGGTCCTCATTATGGTATATACTTATAGGGTATTTTGGAGGCCTATAAGTGTATACCATAATGATACTTGGACCCTTTGGGTAGGAGTTTAGCCAACCCCACACTCCCAAAGCGCCCCCAGCCCCGAGACGCTGAGCCCCAATTCTGGAGCAGGATTCAAAACACTCCATACAGGCCCTCCTAAACCTTACCCCTAAACCTGAAGCCCCTAACGCACCCTGCTCTGAGTCTTAAGCAGCGCCTACACTTTTCTCGCCCCATGGGGTCCAGAATGCAGGATCAAGGGCTACGGGTTCAGGGCTTGCGAGTTTAGAGATTTGCTTAGGATTTAGTATAGGCTTTGGTTAAGTGTGAAGAACATCTGCTTCCAGTTAGTGTAAATTTTCATGGGTCTTTCCTTACCTTGGGTTAGTAGGGAATGGAGGAATTGGGTACAATTATAACAACTTTTACTTCCATTCTTCCATTCCCCACGAGAAACCAAAGGTAAGCTTCTGGCAAAGTTGTGTGCATCCATGTTCCCCATGCTGTTGCTTCCTTCTTGCTTGGTAGGAGCCCGATGCTGCAGAAACAGATTGGGTGGCTCAGAACAATTGCACCTTAACCCTGAATAACCTATCTTTTTAGGGCCTCTGTTTTCATTTCTTTATAGAAGTACTGAAAAATGTTTGTCCTTCGGGGTTAAGGCAAGGCTTACTGCCGGAACTCAACGGCATGGGCCGGGACGGCCCCGGCAAGAGTGCAGATCGGCACTCTACACTGTTGCATGTTGTCCCGCTGCTTGTGCACTCCATTTCAGAAAGCCCCGGGAAGGAACCCCACATACTGATGCTGAGCGGTACCGCCCTGGGCCTCTATGGTTTTATAAGTTGAGCATCAATCTGAATCGCATCTGTATTGTATGTCTCCTTGACCTTAGCTAAAACCCCAACCCACCAAGCCTGAAAACCCTAAACGCATAAAACCTAAAGCTTTAAAATTCCGGGAGGCAGCCGTGTCGAAGGTGTTCTTCGGCGTAGAGGTCCCCGTGGAGGTGCCTCTTCCGGGTTTGGGCATGTAGGGTTACGTCGCTTAGAGGGTTTCGGGCTTTAAGTTAAAGGTAGGAGGGTTTGGGGTTGTGAGTTTAAGACGCAAACGTTGGGGCTAGGAGAAGTTTGGGGTTTCGGGTCCGAGTTCAAGGTGTACGATTTGACTAGAGCTTCCATTGCCAACGTGTGTTTGAGCTGAGGTCCAGCGGAGCTGTATATAGAAGACCACCCATACTGAGCTCGCACAATTCGACCTTGAAGCCTTCACAAGCCGCACCTGTAGGATTTTAGGCTTTAGAGTTACTAAAGCCCAAATCCAATGTAGCTTTCATACATACCCAAGGCCTCCAAGGACCTTACAGGTAGGGCCCTAGACCCCTTAAGGACCCAGTAATTAGGTCCCTGGAAGCCTAAGGATAGAGTTCAGCTAACTCCCTTGGCCTCAACCCGCAAGCTCTAAACCCTCAGAGCCAAAGTCGGCGATTAAGCCAAGACACCCCCCCACCGTGCCCCCACCTATACCCCAAGCCCTAGAATCGCCTAAGCATTATTCATAGGAATATTACTACCTTAGGGTCCCTATATAAATCTGGGAGTTTCCGAAGATAGGGGCCCCAAATATAGTACCCTTAATAGTAGGATCCTTATTACAAGGACCCCAAATGAGGTGCCCCTTGTTTTCGGAAACTCCTAAACCCTTATAGAGCCCTTTAAAGGAACCCTTATGGTAACCCTTTAAAGGAACAAAAAGGGCCCCCTAATCTCGGAAACCCCCCATGTAAGCCTTCCTTTCTCACGAAGCCCCGGTCTGATAATTCTGGCCTTCCCGACTCCAATATCCCTGAATATGGGGATATACCTTAAATTGTAGTAAGATCCCGAATATGATTTAAGGTATATTCCTTAATTTGGGAATATACCTTACTTAATAGTAAGATCCCTAGTATGGTTTAAGGTATATATTCCTTACTTATGGGATATACCTTAAGTTATAGTAAGATCCCAAATATGATTTGAGGTATATTCCTTAATTTAGGATTATCCCTTAAACAATAGTAAAATCCCTAGTATGGTTTAAGGTATATATTCTTTACGTAAGGCATATACCTTAAGTTATAGTAAGATCCCGAATATGATTTAAGGTATATTCCTTAATTGAGGGATACTGGAATCTCTGGGTAACCCCTAAACCCTAAACCCTAACGGCCAAGACTCAAAGGTCTCCGAAGGCCAAGACTCAACGCTCCAAAATGACCTCTCACTGCAAGCCTTGCGACCCTGGTTGAGGGTTCAGGGGGTGCAGGGTTTAGGGTTTAGGGCCCTGTACCCCGAAACCCTAAAGCCTAAACCCGAAAAACAAATTGAATGAAAGCCGCTTAGAAGCCTTAAGCTCTGACCCAAAGTCGTTCTCGCAGGAACTGCGCCAGGCAGTTGCCAAGAGCTGGCTTGAGGCGTGATCTTTCGGGTCTTAGAGTCAAGGCGGTTCATTCTTTGGGCTCCTCACTTGGAGGTTTAGGGTTTAGGGTTTAGGGTTTAGGGTAGGTCTACATGGGGTTATAAGTCTACTAATAGGGGTTATAACCATAGTTACCCTAATTATAGCTCCACTTCTAACTACCCATGAACCTCCAAGCAGGGGTCTTAGAGCTAAGACCTTGTCATGGCTTTTTTGGGTTCTTCAAATAAGGGTTTAGAAGGGCTCGAAACTGTGATGTGGCGTCCCTTATCTACAGACCCGCAGCGCGAATGCTACTATTTGGGGTCCAGCGGTAAGGTTCTTCTGAAACTTCCACGTGATTTGGATTGATAAGTATACTGTGTAGGCTGGGTCAAGCCGCAAATGCGCACTACCAGTGCCATGCTTGGAATGTAGATGGACACCTCCCATGCATGGGGGTTTGGTATCGTCGCCATTCGTGCATGCGGGCGCCTAACCTAAGGTTTCGATTCTACTTTACTGGGATGGGAAGGGTTATTGATAGGATAGCGCCTATTTTATAAGCTATTGTTGCCTGCTGTCGGTGTTTTGTTCGGATTTGTTGGTACTCCGTCCCTAAACCCTAAACCCTACATCCTACTATTCCTTTAGGGTATTGAGTTTATACTTGGTAGCGTTTCTTTTGAGGCTGGAGCTCCTCCAAAGGCCCTCCGCAGGATCAGAAGCGTATCAGTTGCTGCCGATTTTCAAGGAGTTATATAGGGGTTTGGGGTTTTAGAGTTTAGGGTTTTAGGGTTTAGGTTTAGGGTTGAGGGGTTTAGGGTTCCGGTTCTTTGGCAAGATGCCGTCCCCCATGGTCCTGATGTGCTTGCTTTACACTCGCTGGTCGTGGTCAGCTCAGTGGATATTGGGTTTTTTGGTAGTGGGCGGCCTACACAGAGACTCCAATATCCCTTAATTAAGGAAGAAACCTTGAATCATATTGGGGATCCTACAATACTTTAAGGTATATATTCCTTAAATAAGGGATAGTGGAGTCTCCGGGTACCCTCAACCCTATAGATCCCTTAAAGGAACCCTTATAGATCCCTGTAAAGGAACCCTTGTAATACCCCTTTAAAGGAACCCTAAACCCATAAGTACTTTTGCTACTGTCCACTGGCCTCGGTCCAGCGATGTAGCCTAGTGTCCCCTCGGTACTCCCACGACTAGTTCCAAGATTACTGATGCGGTGGGGCGTAGTCCTAAACCCTTATAAGCCTTAAACCCCCTAAGCCCGTTTAGCCTGATGGCCCTAAACGCGATAATTAGTTGCAATCCCAGACCACAAAAAAGCCCTACACTGCCCTTGAATCCTTAAACGAAGCCAAAGTAACTTCTCAAGCTCATTTTTTTGTTGCCCTGAGCCTCCAGAACCTGCGGAGGATTTTTCCTTGGACCATCTGGCATACCTGGCAGGGGGCGAGGAGGACTTGAGCAATTCATTTGGGTGGGGCTCAGGCGGCCCCTATGGGCGTCATTTGTGCCGTCTTACAAGTTACTCGTGATGGTATTCCTCAGGGTCCTTCAGATAATTTACCTATAACCCAAAACCCTGTAATTAGTCATTCTTAGGGACCCCCATTTGGCATCATATACAGCTTGACCAATTAAAAAAACGCCATGTCGGGTTTGGGAGCGGCTCGGAGATTTTCGAAGTGCTCTAAGGGTGGGATGAAGGTTTAGGGTTTAGGGTTTAGGGTTTAGGGTTTAGGGTAATCCCCTAATAAGAGTCCTTATATCAGGGATCTTTGATCCTACTCATCCCACTTTTTGAGGCCTCCAAGAATTCCTGGCTATGGGCTTTTGGGCTTAGAAAGGCTGACCAGCAGGTTTCGGGTTTCTTTTCTATTATTATTATTATTATTATTATTATTATTATTATTATTATTATTATTCTGTTTTTTTTGTTGAGGGGTGGGTGGGCTTAGGGGTTAGGGTTGTATCATATCATCCAGCAAAGCTATAAACACTATATATGCCATGAAAATGCAGAGCCGGAACCCAAACCGAACTTTGCAAAGCACCAGGGCATTGTCAAGTAAGTATCTGCAGAGTATACAGAAACTTTGCCCCTGAACCCTTCTTGACATCGCTGACATGTGGGAGTTTCCCCTATACCTCTCAGGGTACTATATCAGGGGCCCCTATTTTCGGAAAGTCCCATGTGGGAGTGTCCGAAAATAGGGGACCCTAACATAGTACCCGAATTAGTAGAATCCTTATTATAGGGACCCCCAAATAATCCCTAATTTCGGAAACTCCTAAACCCTTATAGAGCCCTTTAAAGGAACCCTTACAGTAACCCTTTAAAGGAACAATTAGGGCCCCCTATTTTCGGAAACTCCCATGAAGAGCTTTGGATGCGAAGAGCCAAGTTTCCAGAGCTGCACTGCGAGGTCGCAGGGCAGCGGCATCTTATGCCAAGGAAAGCAGACCTGGCATAGCCTAAACCCTAAGCCTCTAAACCTCTAATTAAACCCTAAACCTCTAAACCCATTAACCTCTAAACCCTGAACCTCTAAACCCTGAACCCTGTGCTGTTTCGAGCATCGAATCAACTGCTACTTCGAGTGAAATCTGGGCTTGATAATAAGGGAAGCCTAAAGGCGTGAATCCTTCAACGCCGGCACAATTCGGAGTGAGCCCTACGCAATACATCCTAAACCCCCAAAGCAACAACTAAAACCCTAAACCTTGAAAACCCTGAAACCTCAATTTAGTACAGGAAATAGTAGGATACTTATCATAAGGACCCCAAAAGAAGGTGCCCCAAAGCCTAAGCGTTGACATGCACCTCGCTGAAGGAGAAACAGCGCATCATCGAGGCCGCGCCACAGCTGCAGGCCTGCTAAGAGCGCGTAGTTGTAGGGTTTGGGGTTTAAGTTTTATGGTGCAGGGTTTAAGGTTTAGGGTTGTAGGGTTTAGGGTGTAGGGTTTAGGGAATGATTTGCAGGTTGGCGCTCGCACTGCCGATGGTGCTCTTGCTGCTCTGTCTCGTACTCGCCAGATCGTACGCATACGGTGTTCCACATGCACTGCGGACCTTGCCAAGTTACCGGCAGCAACAGCACCAGTACCAGCACCAGCTCCACCAGCAGCAGCACGGCAACAGCAACAGCACCTCTCCAGCACCAGCACCAGCACCAGAAGCAGCACCAGCACAGCACCACCGCCGCCACCTTCCCACCACCACCACCAATGGCAGCGCCAGCAGCGGCAGCAGCAGCACATAGCCACCACCGGCAACGCCACCGCTCCGAACCAACAGCAAGAGCAACACTACCAACATTACCAGAAACTGGGACACTGACAGCATCAACAACAGAAACTTCTACCGCAGCAATAACAACAGCAGCAACAAAAACAACTACGCCTGCACCAGCGGGAACAGCAGCAACAACAGCAACTACTACTACTACTACTACTACTACTACTACTACTACTACTACTACTACTACTACTACTACTACTACTCCTACTGCTACTGCTACTGCTACTGCTACTACTACTACTACTACTGCTGCTACTACTACTACTACTACTACTATTATTACTACTACTACTACTACTACTACTACTACTACTACGACTAGTGCTACTACGACCAGTGCTACTACGACGACTGCTACGACTACTACGGCTACTACGACTATGGCGGCTACTACGCCTATTACGTACTACGGCTACTACGACAACTGCGACTGCTACCACGACTACTACCACTACCACGACGACGACGAGTACTAGTAAGTACTGTATACGACGATGACGACGCCTTTGATGACGACGACGACTAGTCATTACTACCATTACGACTGTGAGGGTTGTTTCTCGACATGTCGATGGGTACCATGGCGGTTTGCGATGTTGACGAAGTGGACGATGCTGGTGGTCTTGGCGTTTGTAGGTATTGTGCTGCTGATGGTGGTGGCGACGTTGTTGTTGGTTGGGGTGGTGGTGACTTTCATTCCATACGTCTACTATCTATATTATTGAGTGACCGTTTTGTTCTGGCCACTTGCCATCTAATTAAATAGTAAGGCCCCTGAATTCTTAGACTCTACTATAGACCCCAAAGGGGCCTTCACATCGCAACTTGGAATGTTCAAGCTCTCTCGGTACGCCTCGGATTCCGAACCGTCCACCTCAGCATTAAGAGCCGAGCTTGCGCCAGCGGCAAACGTTGGGTACGGCCCCCACTCAGTAATAGTAATAGTTGAATAATATTCATAGTATAGATATATTAGGACCTTAGTAGTAGCCCTATTATAGACTCTTACTGTATGGGGGCAGAACCTAGGCAAACGCAACCGTACTCGGGTGTCATACTGCAAGTCCTCTACTCATCGCCTATGAAGTCGCCGCCATGCCACTACAACAAGCAAGCCACAGAGCGAAATGCACCAAGCAGTCGAGGTGCTTCTAAATATTGAACTCGCTGACCTCAGCCGCTACCCTGAGCCCTAAACCCCTAGGCCCAAAGCCCCGAAATCTGTAACTCTAAAGCCCAAGCTTGAAACCCCGAACCTTAAATCCAAACTTACCACCTTGGGCCAGAGCTGGTTCCTTTAAAAGGGGTCTAATCATAGGGGTTACTATCAGGGATCTAAAAGGGTTTTTTCCATTATTCTTGCACTGCGAAGGACAAAGATTTCCTGGTGCCCCGGCGGGATCGGCCCAAATCCTGGATGGCCCCTGGGCCAAGTTCATCCAGGTACTACGGTCGATGATATAAATCCTGGGACTCCTTTAAAGGGATCTATAAAAAGGTAGCTTTAAGGGGCTCCTTTTAAGGGATCTATATACTGGGTTTTAGGGTTTAGGGATATAAATCCTGCGTTAACCATAATAAGGAATATACCAAAATTCCCATAGCTTAGGGTTCTTAAGGTATTGCAGGATTTATGTCATCAACCGTACGGGGCGGTTCAGGGTTAACCTTGAAGGGTTTAGGGCTTAATTAAGGGCTTCAGGCTGAACAATCTGAGAAACAACCCTACACGAGCATCCGCAGTTGGGCGGCTCATGGTAATTAAGCTTCATTCAGCTTAGGCTTATGAACTTATGATGCATTGCAAAATTCATTCTCGTCATCATGATTTCCTGTGTTTAGGTGGCTGAAGCTGAGAGGTGTTGGATACTTTGGGTTTAGGGCTTTTAGGGTTTAGGGTTTTAGGGTTTAGGGTTTAATGGTTTAGGGTTTAGTGGTTCAGGGTTTAGGGTTCTTGGGGTTGTGTAGAGTCGGAGTTTTGTTATGGAAGTCTCAAGGTTAGTCAATGCGCTGGTTCTATGCTTTCGAGCTGGCGCTGTGGGCTTGAGTAGTGCAGAAGTTTGCACTCCTGGTACAGATTAACAAGTATGCGAAGTCTGCATAATTTGGAAGAAGACACCCTGAACTTAGTCCCTACGAAAGTATAGTTCGACGTCCGAAATAAGCCCCAGCACCCAAACCTACCCAAGTCCTAGACCTTGTTTTTTTCGCCCTAAACCCTAAATCCCCAAAATCCTAAATCCCCAAGTCCTCGACCCTAAAACGCTAAGCCCCAAAACCCCAAGCCCCTAATCCCAAGTCCTAAACCCTCGAGCACTGAGGTCGGGGCAGCTCTGTCCTCCGAGGCAGGGCAGGTTGTCGGGCCTTCAGGGGTTAACAACAGGGGCCTCAATAATTAGAATGGAGTTCCTTATAGTTTCAGGGGTCAACATAGGGGCCAAAAAACTCAATTGAATGGAGTTCCTTATAGTTAAAATATAGGGGCCTCAATAATTAGAATGGAGTTCCTTATAGTTAGAATATAGGGTTTGGTCCAAGACCCAATTCTAATTATCCGAGCCGTTGCCTAAGGGACTGCAACATGGTGACGCGAGATCCCTCTATCCTGAACCCCAAGACCTGGATCTCTACATCCGAAGCCCTTATAAGCCCTACACACGAAACGCACTCCATAAGAAGGATACCCCTAATTTTCGGAAACCCTCAAGCCCTAAACCCTAAAGAACCCTTATAGGAACCCTTCGAAAAGGAAGAACCCTCAAAGGATGGCTCCGTGCTGCCCTTCGCCGTGACACCGAGCCGAGTCAGCGCCCCTGCAGACGAGGATAGCTCTCCAAGGCACGGCGTTTCATCTTGTGCCTCTGTTTGTTTTATGGGACTTAGTAACTGGGTCTATAAATAAGGTAACTATACTTATAATTACTTATAACCCCAATTAAGGTACTTATAACCTTAGTTACTAAGTCCCATGATCCTTTGTTCCCAAAGGGTCCAAGTATCATTATGGTATATACTTATAGGGTATTTTGGGGGTCTAAGTATATACCATAAGGATACTTGGACCCTTTACGGGGGGTTTTTGAAGTCAGGATCCTTGGGTCTTGGGGTTTAATTAGGGTTTAGGGTTTAGGGTTTAGGGTTTAGGGTTTAGGGTCTTTGGCTTGGGGCTTCTAAGATTTTTTCTAGTGGTTCTGCTAGTTGTTGGGTTTGGGGTCTTTGTGCTTGGGGTTCTGATATCTTTTGTGTCTGGGTGCTGCAAGATTGCTGAATGCAAGACCTTGTTACTTGTTTGGATAGCTGGGGTCTTTTCGCGATAAATGCCGCAGCTTCTGCTTCCTGGATCCGCTACATATGACTCACACTTTATCTGCATACATACATACATAAATACGTACATACTGCGTGCAGTCATGGATCTCCAACCTGATGTTTCGATGCACCTAAACCTTGAGCCCGTTGAACCCTGTAGCTTCATTGGTATCAACCAGATGCACCCCCTTCAGCTGTTAAAAAACTTGAGCCTCTATAGAAAGCAGCATCGCCCCCAACCACATTTCGTAACCTTAAATCCTGCAGCGACTCATGATGGACAGCTGAAAAGGCTTCTAAGGAAGGCCTTTACAGCTCCGCAAGACACCGTAACAAAACCCCTAATCATAACCCATGGAAGCCTAAAGCCCGGTTAGACGCTGCAAATCTGTATGAGATCCTACGGATCCCTAACCCTCAAAACCTTAACCTAAAACCCTGAAGCCTTAAATAACACCAAAAGCAATAACACTAAAGCCCTAAAATCACACTAAAACCCTCAACTAACCCTAAAACCCTCAACTAACCCTAAAACCCTAAAGTAACCCTAAAACCCTCAACTAACCCTAAAACCCTAAAGTAACCCTCAACTCTCAAACCCTTAAGCCCTCATCTCGACTGAGATAGTGAACGGGGGAACTTTAAACTTTTTGCCCTTATATATTAGCTCTATCTTAGAAAGATTGAACTTTTGGGGACCCGGTTGTTGAAGACGAGAGTCGAAGACCCGAGCGAGGCCTTCTGAGGCGGTGGTGTATCCCTTCTACAGGGACCTGGAACGGAACAGCCTATTTTCCCGAGGCTTTGGGAGGGTTTAGTAGGTACGGGCTTAGGAAGTTTAGGAGGTATGGGTTTAGTAAGTTCAGGCAGGGTTTAGGAGGTGTGGGTTTAGGAAGTTTAGGCATGGGCTTAGGAAGTTTAGGGAGGGTTTAGGAGGCATGGGCAAAGGAAGTTCAAGGGAGGGTTTAGGAGGTATGGGCTTAGGGAGCTTACAGGTTGGGGATTTGGGCAAGTCTCAGTTTCGGGGTTTGGGAGGGTTCCGGTTATAGGGGCTAGGGCGGAGGCCTCGGCGCCTGCTTCAGGCCCCTATAGTAGTAGCGTGCCCGTGGCCTTTCTTAAAGGGTTCCAAGATTTAATTTAGGGCTTCAGCAGTTTTGGGTGCAGCGGGTTGGCATTTTGGAATGGGTAAGGTTTGGGCACAGCTTCAAAACCCCCAAAATCCCTATACCCTAAACGCTAAAATCCTAAATCCTAAAACCCTAAACCCTATGTGCAGACCCTTTCCGGGTCCAGGTTGAGTCTTGTGCGAGGGTTGGAGGTTGGCATCGAGAGCGACTACCCTAAGGCCCCATAGTAGTTCCTTTTGGTGGTTCACATTGCGAATCCCATGATGTAATTCCAAACTACTAAGGGGCCTCTGGATAGATACCTGAATGTCTGCACCGACATGTATTCCTTCTCAGTCCCGCATGGAGAATATGCTATAGTTGTAGACAGATGGATAGGTAGGCAGGCAGCTACGTACATGGCTAGATAGGTAGAAAGGTCGATCGGTAGATAGGTCGATACGTAGATAGGTAGATAGACAGACAGACAGACAGGCAGATTGTGAAGCACGGTTGTAAAGTTGATTTTCTCGTCTACCATCATCATAGGCTTGCTGCGTTGTTCTAGCATCCCTAGATTCTAGTCCTTAAGCCCCATTCCCCAGACCCTAGATTTCTATCCCTACACTGTAATGCCTGACCTATACTATGTACATGCAGCTTTGGGTGCGAAGCATACATTCAAGACCAACTCAGCCCTAGACCTAAGCCTTAAACCCCGAGTGTGCCACGGAATCTGCGCAGGCGAGGTGGAGACGTTTGCCTTCGGTGGCCGTGAGGTCAATGGCTTGCGTGTTTTTGTGTGTATAAATTTAGGATTTGGGCCTGAGGGCTTGCTTCTAAGTAGATTATCTTCCGGCCCCCAATAATTAGTAGCTGTATGCCCATATCTTCCGTGCAGAATCTAATGATAGTGGTGCTATAGCAAATCCATATAGAGGAGAAGTGTGGGAAGGAAGCGCCGAAGCCATCTGCCTATTTTGCTTGGTTGTCGAATCTTCCAGTATTGATCAAATCTTGCCCAGGCCCGAATCCAAACCCTATGCTCTAAACCCAGAGGCCGTGCAATTTGCGGGACATGCACACTCGTGGGAATGAACCCAACCTGAGTCTAAATCTAAAGCTCGAGACTAAAGCCCAAGCTCCCAAACCCATTCGCCGTGATTGCAGTCTGAAACCTTATAAACCTACGCCGCGAATACTAAAGCCTAAAGCGTAAATCCACACCCTAGAGAGTTTATGTAAGTCCTCCAGTACATAGTAAGGACCTTCCTATGTTAGATTGAACAATACGGAAAAGGGGACTTGTTGGCAAGGGGTTATTGGGGAACTACTAAGATCTGCGAAAGAGCTACCACGCCCTGTAAGAAGGCCCCTTCAACACCCGAGTCTTCGGGAAGAAGTGCACAGCGACTCACCAAATTCGATGCATCTTTAGGCCCCCCAAAACAAACCTGAGTTAGGGGTTTAGGGCCGGGGCAACCAAATAACCGACGTATCGGTCATACACTCCAAAAACTACACTCCAAATTCCTGGATCTTCCCCACAATACGTTTGCAATCCTACAACCGCGTTGTCTTCGAAGCAAAGAGGCACCCCCCAGAGAGCCCAATACCCCTTAATTAAGGAATATGGCTGAAATTATATAGGGCTTCATATTATGATTTAAGCCATATTTCTTCATACCCTTATAGAACCCTTATAGATCCCTTTAAGGAGCCCCTAAAGGAACCCTAGGTATTCCTTAATTAAGGGGTATTGGGCTCTCTGGGCCTCCCTTCTTGAAACTTAAACCGCCGAGCTCCTAAACCTTAAATGCCAAATCCCAAAATGGGTGGTTGTCAAAATTAGGGTCCCTTTTTTGGGTCCCTAATATAGTACGGCACCAAAGATTTAGGGTACCCAAAAAGGGGCCCTAATTTTGACAACTGCCCAAATCCCTAAACCCGTAAACTCGAAGCCCTATCAACCCTCAACGCTCGACCGTAACAGCTAAACCCTAACCTAAACCCCAAAGTCCCAAAGCATATAAGACCCGAGGCCCCCGACTCCCGACCCACGCCTGGCCTAGGCGCTGAGCATCGACAGCCCCCCATTTCAGCCCGGTAGCCCCGTCAGGGACTGAGATTATTCTTTGGTTTTAGGGTTTTGCGGAAAAATTAGGGTTACTTAGTATTTTTGTTTTTGGGTTTAGGAACAATTAGGGTTACTTGGTATATGTGCTAAGTAACTTTAGTAAAATGCAATCTTGGGAAGGCCTGGGTTCAGGGTTACTTAGTATGAACAAGGTTTCTTTTTGGTTCTAAGGGCGAGCAAGTCTTGTCTTTGAGCTTTTTTTGGGGGGTACTATAATCCCAAAACAAGTCAAAAGGTTCATGACCAGTTACCGCAGGATACCTGGTTTGCATATCTATCTGTCGATCTATCTATCTATCTACCTATCTATTGGTCTCTAGGGTTTAGGATTCGGAGGTTGAGAGGTTTAGGGTTAAGGGTTTTGGGTTCAGGGCTTAGGGGTGTTTCAGTTTTGCCTTTGACATGTGTAAGCGCTTGAGATGGGGGGCCCCTTCAGCTCGGGGTATATGCCCATACTCAGGAGTTCCAAAATGAAGAAGGTGCCAGGCTCGGGCCGGGAGGTCTCTTTATCGCACATACCCAGAGAGCCCGATATACCCCTTCATTAAGGGATATAGCTCAAATCATAATATGAAGCCCTACATGATTGAAGCCATATTCCTTAATTAACGGGTACTGGGCTCTCTGGGTAGGCAGGGGGAGTGGGGTAGGGAACTATACTTCCGAAACAAGCCTAGTCGGTATTCAAGGCCCCCCCTACACCCCCCCTACCCCCCTTACTGAGGGTCCTCATGAATTACACATGCCTACAGTCTTGTACCCAAGAAATGGAAGCCTTTGCTGGCTGGAAGCCATCTAACTTGATGTTTGGGTTTGCGAGTTTCAACAAACAGCGGAAACTAACATATGTCACATACACCAATAGAACAGGATTCTTATCGTACAAGTGTCTGCGTAAGGTATGCCTGGTTTGAAGAAGTTGCTGCGTCTTAAGCCTGCTGCTTTGTCAGGATTCGGTTGCTGGGGGGCGGGTACTAGGGTTTTGACGTAGGTTCCGCAGGAGGGGAGGAGGGAAGATCACATGCGGAACTCTTGGGGAAAGGCCGAAGCCAAACCACCCAACGATTCGCGGCCCAAGCCGTTCCACGGGGGGGGGGGGGGGGGATGACCAAATAGGGAAATAGGAGGATACCAACCATTATAAAAGACCCCTCCAACCCTAAACCTACGAAAGGTCACCAGTGATGGGTTTCAGGATGCCTGTGGCTAGGGCCCTGTCAGGGCCACAACAAGCTCCGTCCATACTCTTTTGGGGGGTCCTTTTTATTATGATGGTATAATATACCCCAGGCCCTAGTCTGACTATTGAGGCCCCTATATTACCGCAGGCGTGGAATTTTTCCGGGTCGCCCTGGGCACGAAGGTCACGGGACATCAAAGGCCTCCGCCCCCGGACGACTGGCTCTGCCGGTTCATCGAGCTAAGCAGCCCACAAGCACGGACGAAGATGAGCAAGGTCTTGAGTTTTAAATGTACCGCGGATACCTCCATACCGGCTATGTGTTTGCACGTGAGCCCAATGCCCTGAACCGAGAACACTTACTGCAGACATCCTGATAGAACCCTGCTTGCCGTCCTTGTTAAAATGAGAACCCTAGACCTGAGTCCCTCTAGCTTTCCCCAGGTCATCCGTCTAGCTGCTCCGACAGAGCCTTTCTCGCTTGCCGACGCCCTGACGATGAGCACCGGGGCAGCAAACATGAACCCGAGCCCTCAACCCATGCAGTAAGCCCCTGGAATCTGAAGTAGTTTGTCAATGGCACTGGTTTGGACGGTACCAGAAGATTTCGGAAAGCGCCATGGGGCTACCACAGTTTCCGAAGACGGAATATCTGGGGCTCAGATTTATCAAGGATTCAGAGTTAAGGAAAGTCAAATCCAAGCAGTGTTGTTTTCCAAGGCGGAGTGTGCAGTCAGAAGGGCCAACACAGCGATGCGCAGACTGATCTACCCTAAACCCTAAATCTCAGTGGGCAGCCTGTCCCCGAAGCCTAAATCCAGGGATCTGTTGGGGGCTGCACGGTGTCGTGGCAGGTTCATAGAGGAGTTCGGAGTTTGGTACAGATTGTGTGATGTGATCGGGCATGCATCCTGCCAGACCCGAAGCCCTCAGGCAAAACACAAAAAAAGTCCGAATTCTTCCTACTATCTATTCGTTCTTTCTATTTCCTAGAGTCCTCGAGTATCATACTACTGCTGCTTCAGCAACCCCGATATACACACCAAACTCGGCGAGAAACTCATATGCTCGAAAGCCGCAGATAGAGACCTGCATAGTACTGAAACGCGGCGGTTGCTGTCCGCGCGACCTGCGAGCACTAAACCCTACAGTACCCTTAAAGGAACCCTTCTAGCAGCCCTTAGAGGAACTCACAAGCACTAAACCCTACAGTACCGTTAAAGGAACCCTTGGAGCAGCCCTTAGAGGAACCCTCAAAGGAACCCGACAGTCATGTTCCCAAGGTGGACTCTCTGCTGCGGCGCAGCTTTTCCCGGGCTTGCCAAAGCCGGCGCGCTGGCCGGTGAAGGAGAGACGCCCTGCGCGACATCTAGAGAGAGGTTTACAAAGGGTTTGGAAGCCGCTTGATGTCAGAACCCAGATATCTATCTTGTTTTCTGGGCAAAGCTGCTGAGCGAGCTCTAAGCCATGACGGCCTGTGGGCGTCTTTGATGATGAAGCCTTATAACCTGCCCCAATACCTTCTGTTCTGATTAATTAAGCCCGAAATGTAGTATGTAATATGTAGTAGAACGTCCGCACGTGTCGGAATCCGTCGCGCGTTTTTTGTGCAAATACGCGTTTCGCCACAGCGGGAGCGCATTTTCATACCGAATACGAGGCCTCAAAAAAATGCTGTTTTCAGAGCTAGTTTTGTGGAAACCATGGCAGGCGTGGCACTTTGCAAGATTCGGCGTGTCACTTTTTGGGGTCTTCTTTTTCGCGTGGTTGAAAGGCCGAAAACACCGCGCACAACTAGGTTTTCGTGATGTCAACAATCCGAAGTGCGATTTTGCAGTTTACCCCAAAGTTTGTTTTTTCTTCTACGTGGTTTCGAGGATGAGTAAGCAATGATTTTTTCAACCGCGAGGGTGGCAGCAAAGAGAGACCAATGAAAACGACATGTTTGTCGCATTCTCAACACATTGGGAATTGCCGCGGATTTGTGCATATCTTCGCGAAAGCTGCATCGGATCATCTTCGTGAGATGTGCCTATCGCAGGAAAACGCATCGGATGAACTTCGTCAGATTTGAAAGATTCATGTGAGTTGAGCAGAAGATAGGAAAGATTGGAATCAGGATGAAAACATTGGGAATTCGTATTGATTGCGGAGGATTGGTGATTTTTGTTGTGGCGACAACTGCATCGGATCATCTGTTGCAGGAAAACGCAGCGGATGAACTTCGCCAGATTTGAGAGATTCATCTGAGTTGAGTGGAAGATAGATTGGAATCAGGATGAAAACATTGGGAATTCGTACTGATTGAGGAGGATTGGTGAATTTTTGTCGCGACAACTGCAACGGATCATCTTCGTGAGATGGGCCTATCGCAGGAAAACGCGTCGGATGAACTTCGTCAGATTTGAGAGATTCATGTGAGTTGAGCAGAAGATAGGAAAGATTGGAATCAGGATGAAAACATTGGGAATTCGCATTGATTGAGGAGGATTGGTGATTTTTTGTAGCGACAACTGCATCGGATCATCTATTGCAGGAAAACGCATCGGATGAACTTCGCCAGATTTGAGAGATTCATCTGAGCTGAGTGGAAGATAGATTGGAATCAGGATGAAAACATCGGGAGTTCGTATTGATTGAGGAGGATTCATGATTTAAAATCACCAATCCTCCTCATTTTTTGTAGCGACAACTGCATCGGATCATCTTCGTGAGATGTGGCTATTGCAGGAAAACGCATCAGATGAACTTCAGATTTGAGAGGTTCCTCTGAGTTGAGTGGAAGATAGATTGGAATCAGGATGAACACATTGGGAATTCGTATTGATTGAGGAGGATTGGTGAATTCTTGTCGCGCAAACTGCATCGGATCAACTTTGGCCCACGCTCACGCAGCACGGACGTTATTAACCCCCCCCCCCCCCCCCCCCCCCCCCCCCCCCCCCCCCCCTCCCGAAGACAAGTCCGAATCCTCAGAAATGCACGAAAACGCACGACAGTTAACGATCCGTTAGCTAGAACGTGTATAGTAGCACATACTACATAGAATGTAGCACATCGTATAAGCCCGTGTGTTGGCCACCTTGAGTCGATTCGACATGCCCTCTGCCTCTCAGGTGGGGCCTAACGTCAACTCCTCGGCTAGCAACACGCAAGCCCTAAACCTCAAACCCTAAACTTGACGCCATTGCACTTTTAAAAACAAACCTAAACCGCCCAAGGAATTAACAACATAAAGATGGCTTGCTGATCAGTGTGCTAAGCCGTATGTACACCCGAAAAGCCAGAGCCCTAAGCCCTAAACCCCAAAGGCCCGAACCCTAAATCAACTTTAGGGTTGTAGGGTTTAGGGCTTTAGGGTTTAGGGTTTTAGGGTGCAGGGGTTTAGGGGTTTAGGGTTTTCGGGGTTTAGTTTTTAGGGGTTTGGTTTTTAGGGGTTTAGGGTTTAGGGTTTAGGGGTTTAGTTTTTAGGGTTTTAGCTTTTAGGGGTTTAGGGGTTGAGGGGCTTTAAGGTCCTAAGAAGATTGGCACTGGACTGCTGGAGACCCGACTCTAAAGCACACGGTGTAATGGTCGACGGTCAACGTATCTGTTTTAGGTTTGCTAGAAAGGGTCTGGGTTTAGGCTTTTGTGGTGTATGAGGGTTTCCAATATGGGCATTGAGATGCAATTTGGGGTTATATAGGTGTCGTAGAAGTTTGGTTTGAGGGTTTGGGATTAAGGGCTTTTTTTTAAGGGATTAGGATATTAGTGTTTGGCGCAGCAGAGCTCGCGGTGTTTCCGGATTGAAATGGTTTGTCGGAGTCTCAAAACTGCATGTCGATCCTCTTCTAAGGAAAATCTTCTAAGGAAAACTAAGTGTTAATCTTTTGAGAATAGATGGGTTCATATGACCACCAGCAAGTAGCAAAAGGCTGCTGACTCTATCACTAGAAACATCGCGGAACACTTATATGGTAGAGTGTGACACCCCAGATGACGCTAATTAATAGCAAAGCCCAAATCCAAATACTGCAGAGCCTAAACTCAGACTCTTTGAATCAGCCAAACACCTCACATGGTATAGCTTATGTTGAGGGACGTAGGACACTACACAAGCCCACGAGCCGCAGCTTGACATGGTTTCTTCCTTCTTGTGAGGACGTCACTGGCTTGTCGTCTGGCTGCTCGGCTGGCACCCAATGCTCCTACGCAGTTCTTCTCATCTCATCGGCTTATAAGGGAATCTATGAGGGTCATAGAAACGGGTGTGAGGTACATAGAGAGCCCAATACCCGTGACGTAGTGTCGGCAAGCGAACGCGTGGTGAGAAGCCCATCCTAACTGAAGGTGCATCCCTCCTTTCAGGGGTATTGGGCTCTGAAGATGACAGTGACGATGGCGATGACGATGATGATGATGATGATGATGCTGGTGATTATGATGGTTATGATGGCGACAGTGATGATGTAGTTTATGATGCTGATCATGACGATGTTGCTGATGCCACTGATGATGGTGATGATGATGGCAGCGATAGTAATTATGGCGATGAGTAATGGTAAAGGTGTATCTTATTCTTGACTCTGACTGGAGACAGTCGCTATTAGGGGCGCAGCCAGGTCACAGGTTTTAGTTCAGGGCTTCGATGTTTAGGATTTGACATCTTGGGTTTCAGGTATTTTCAGAGTTTTGAGGGATGCCGGAAGTTGTCAGAACCCCTGATTGTGTCGGATGTGTGCGGTCACGCCTTAACTGATCCTTTATTCTCACATCTGATGCCCTTCGAAGCAGGTCATCGGTTTCGCGTCTAGGGTCATACCCTGCCTTCTTGATGGGGCACCTAGCTATCTTTGCGGTTAGTAGTACCTCAGGGCAACTAGGAATCCCAAGCTATTATCAATAAGTGCCAAGCCCAGCTTTGCACTAGACTTACACCGTGCCCCGGCAGAACGCGCTCCTATATCTCGGCCTGGAAATAAATCTGAATGAATCCACAGCTACCCTAAACCCGGAAGAAACTGAATGCCTGGTTTTCAGGGTAGGGTTAAGGGTTATGTACGGGTTTGTGAATATCAATCTTATTTCCACAAAGCCCCACACCCCGAATGCTTCAAACAACACTTGACTTAAACCCAAAACCCAAACCTACAGCTCTAGGGCCCCAAAGCCCTCACCCCTAATCCCTGAAGCCCTAAACCCGAAACCCCGAAAATCTTTAAACCCCACGGCCAGACAACCCCTGCCACCCAACAGCCCGAACTCCGGCCCGTTATGGCCTGAGCCCTTGGATCCTGCCCCTCAGTTACGGCACCTTGGAAACCTAGAGATCCCCCGATAGTCATAGGGAGCCTTAAGTTTAAGGCTTAGGGTTTAAATGCCCGGAAGAAGGACCGAAAGAAAGGCCTATTTAAGGAACTAGAGTCCCCTACACCCCTCCGCCCTACCCCTGTGAGGGTCCTTCAGAGATAATGATAAATCCCCAACCATCAGACCCGAAGTCCTAACCCTAAGTCAACCATACCCGGATCCTAAACCTAAGTCAAACATACCCGGATTCTATAAGTCAAGCACCCGATATCCTAACCCTAGGTCGAAGAGTCTGCGAGCCTCGAAGCCTTCATGAAGCCTTGCAGAAGCTAATGGTTTCCATTAAATGCCTATCTATCAATCTAGAAACCGTCACTACAAAGAGACCCTTTAAGCAACCTATAGGTTCAGGCATCGAATAGCCACAAACTCCGATGCAAACAGCCCATAAGCCTCGGACGCCGGACGCCGAGGGAAAACGTCGAATCGCCGAGGTGAAGACGTTTCCTTCGTCAGTGGCGACGTTGCCGACAGCTCTGGGTTGCTGACGTACTCCGGCCTGTGCCTATACCCATAGGCTCCATAGTAGTTCCTTTTTGGGAGTACCTTAAAGGATTCTAAATAAATATGAACCCCAGAAGGAACTACTATGGAGCCTTAGGGTAGCTTGCCCTAGATGCTTCGCCGTATGGTTTGGGGCCAAAGTTTAGGGCTCATTGAAAATATCCATTGTTGGTTTCGCAGGTTCAAGATCCTTGTGCCTACTCTATATACGATTTGGTGTATTGAAGGGGTTCCTACAGTGGTACTTTGTGGCTAATGGCTATGGGGCCATGGCTGGATTTGTTGCTATGGCCAGGCCATGTTCATGGAAAGTAAGCTCCAAGGGCACAAGGAGGGACACTTAATAAGGACCCCTAGGTATATACCCTTAATCTAGCGATTATATACCCATTATATAGCCCATTGTAGGGTAGGGGTCCCCATTAAGGGTCCCTCCTTTTACCTCTTTGAAAGCAGGTAACCAATAACTTACCGTTGGTTAGTAGGGAATGAGGA